AGATAAATATAAGATGATCTGATACAAATCTATTTTCAGTCAGCCAGGTTGGAGAATTCCTCATGCGTCTTTCCGTGTAGATAAATATAAGATGATCTGATACAAATCTATTTTCAGTCAGCCAGGTTGGAGAATTCCTCATGTCTCTTCGTGTAGGTGGTGGATTCAGCAACCTTTGCAGGTTGTATGTTATTCCATCTTTGAGTCGGCTCTGGTGCTGTCACTGCCAGCAACTGGTGGATGCTACAAGCTCTGGAGACTGCATTCTCGATTCATTAAGTCCACCCATATCACCGATGGACCCGAACATGAAAGCGAGTAACCCCTTGGCTTACTTAGTCTTTCAGATCGCCTTACGCTTTCTGCCAAATCAAACCGTTTCGTGGTTCTCGCTCTTCAAGGACGAGGTCAATGGAAAGGATCCCAACTTCGCCTGTCCTCGGCGCTACGATGCTGTGGTGCAGCCCTTCCGGTCCCTTGTGGGCGATGCGTCCCTGCACAACGAATTTCGACAGCATGCTGCTGAGCTGTGTGGCCTACAGGAACCCCCAGCGGTGCCGAAAAAACGACGTTTGGTGCTGCTGAGGCGCACCAGACACATGCGCTCCTGGGGTGATGTGGAAGAGTTGTTGCAGGGCCTGTTGGCTTGGGCCAAGAGAAATGACTGGCAGGTGGAGGTGCTGACGTTAGGCTGGTGGGTGGGCATCTATTTTGGGACGAGTTTTTGTTTGATGTTTCAATTCAACCTTCAGTATCCTTCGGTCAAGAATTTGATCCCGCCAATGACATTCCAGTTTCGTGAGGTGACATGGAGCCATGTGAGCAAATTGCAGCCCTCCAAGATGCATCGATTGCTATCACTGTGTACAGCACGGAGCATCACCTGGCCTCAGCGTTTCTGCCGGAAAAAGCAGTTTTATTGGTGCTGAACACCAAAGTCAAGGCCATGGGCCTGAGCCAAACTGCTCTTTTTCGTTTGTTTTGTCTGATATCATGGGCGTTTGAAATCATTGGAATAGTATATTTAAATGTTTGAGAACGTTGAATTGAGTTTTACTTGCAAGAACAACAACACATAATCCCAGGTCCAGTCCATCCGTAGAAAGTCTTGACCCGAGTTTCTCGGTTTTCCATTTGCAAGGAGCCACCAAGAACAATGCCCTGCATATAGATTTTCCATGATTTTCCTTTGTTTCTCCCTGCAAAAGGCAATGTTTTCCAACTGGATCCAGTGAGTTGTTTCAAAGTTTGATATATTTCCAGTTTCAGACGCAGAGTCTCGCAGAGTACTTTCGAGACGTTTCGAGACGTTTCGAGGCTCGTCTCAAGAAGTTGGAGGATCTCCGGGGCCCCGGGATGCAGCGCAACGCCTCCGTGGCGCGTCGCTTCGTGGAACTCTGTGGTCCCTGGCGCGCCGCCGCAGAGGCAAGGGAGGCGAAGGAGGCCGACTCGGGCGGGTCGTGGGAGCCCGTGCTAGCGCCCTTCATGGATAACTCGGGGACGGCAGCGGCCAGGAATTTGATGTCACTTGGCCTATCTTGACCCGTTGAAAGTTGTAAAGTGAGTTGTGTTTGCTCACATGTGGCCAAATTCAGGACATTCGTTCGCATTTGTTCAATGGTTTCCCCGTCCTTTCTTCTATTCTTTTTAAGGACTGGGGTTTCATTTTGTTTTTGGATGTTCGCTCTTGGTACCTCTTGGCGCTGGGGGCAATCTGGACCTGGATCCTGGTATAAAGCTCAGGCTTTTTGCACGAAGGGCTGCAAGATTCGTTAGACATTCCTGCCCGTGTTTTTTTTATAGTTTGTGCCGACGCTTTGCTTGCGCCATACGACTCCTGTGCCATTGAATGATCATTGGAATCATTGGCGAGTATAACCAGTGTCACACATTCTGGATTGGTGCCCTACATAGTTTACCATGAGCACCAGGGCCTTGCCACTACAGGTTTTATGCTTTCAACAATGTGACGTGCCACGTGCTGGCGACCTCCAAAAAAGTGGTGAGCCGAACACCTTGTGGATCAGATGACCTGCTGGTGACTGGTGCAGTGTCCACCCATTGGGACGACCTGATCCGGGTGTTGGACATTTCACTAATTCATTTGAGAAGATTTCTTTAATTTTTAAATATTTCTTTACTAAATATTTGTGCAATCACAGACAAAGATGCGGCCGGTGTCTGGCAGGGCTTCTGTGGCTGAGCAAAGAGCTGTACGAAAGTCAGGCTTCAAACAGAGCTGCATTTTGCATTTTGCACTGCTTTGCAGTGAGTCTACCCGCATGGATGCGCAAAAGGAAGGATTGCATAGTATGTTTGTCACAAGGACTATTTGGCTCAAAGACAGCCTGCATCCGAACATTGAAAGCTTTTCCTCTTGCTTTTTTGACAAATATCTTGGCCACCGGTCATACCATACACTTCCTGGAGTCCAGCCTACTTTTGCAGAGACTTCGATACAAGATAATATGGAGTGACCGCTGAATGTTTCCGTTTTGATTTGTGCTATGGACGAACCTCGTGCAGGCGGGGAAATGCAGCCCATTTCAATTTTGATCATAATATGATGCAGAACTGCATCACAGAGAGATTTCCACAGAGGTTGTGATGTGGGACCATTACATATATTACATATGGGATAACTGTCACAAACGATATTGCTGTCGTATTGTTCCCGAATGCGTAGCAAGGGTTCCCATTTCACTCTGGGGGTCTGGGGGTTGAGGGTGTGTTCGCTCGACGTTCCGTTTACGTTCACAACCGTTCGCAACCGGTCGCAACCGTCCGCGGGCGGTCACGTGAGGGGCGTATGGCCGTGCCTATGGCGAGTTTTGCAAGAGTGGTCACTTTTGGAGGTTTCAGACGTCGCGCAGCCTCGTTTCGCGTGGTAGGCGTGGCACTTTGTGACATTCCAACTTGTTTCATAACATGTTAAAAGTCGTTTTGCGTCGCAATACTTTTGCGACGTTTTCAGAAGATGCGTTCCAATTTTTGTGGCAGGCACGGCACTTTGGCGACCTCCATCATCATTTCGCGTGGCAAGGCGCAGCACTTTAGACGTGTCGTGTTGCGTGTTGTTGCGGGTTTTGCGAATCACATTGTCAGGGCTGTATGAAGTGGTAACAACGTGCAAATTCCGTGGCAGGCGTGGCATCTTGTGAGATGTGATGAAAAGTGACGGAAGCCTCGCACGAAACACCGATTTTGAGGCAGCAAATTTTGAGGTTAATAAAAAACTCGTAGGAAAACGTCGATTTTTAAGCTACACAGTATGAAAATTGGAGGAACTCTTGCACGAATCGCTCGTTTTGAAGCTCCTACATGTCTCGTTTCCATTCTCTGGTTTTCTTCTGTCGCCGTGTCTATGGGGGAAGCTTCGAAACTTCTGCTTTTCGACGGTTTCCAAGCAGGTTGTCATGTCGTTTTGCGTGGCGCTTGGTGACATTCCAACCTGGTCGTTTTGTTTGGCAGGCGCAATATGCGTCGTTTTCAGAAGATGAGTTGCAGTTTTCATGGCAAGCGCAGCACTTGCGAGACCTCCATCGTCATTTTGCGTGGCGGCCACAGCACTTCAGACGTGTCGCATTGAGTGCTCTACACTCCACACTTTACACTCCACACTCCACACTTTAGACTTCACGCCCCACATTTTACGTTCCACACTTTACACTCTACACCTTACACTCCACACTTTACACGCCACACTCCACACACTACACTCCACACTCCACACGTCACACTCCACGCTCTACACTTTACACTCCACATTCAACACTTTACACTCCACACTTCACACCCACGCTTTACACTTTACACTTTACACTTTACACTTTACACTTTACACCCCACACTTTGCAATTTACACTTTACACTCCACACTTTTAAACTTTACACTCCACACTCTACACTTTACACTCCACACTTTACACTTTACACTCTACACTCCACACTTTACACTACACTTTACACTCACACTTTACACTTTACACTTTACACTCCACACTATACACTCCACACTCTACACTTTACACTCTACACTTTACACCCCACACTTTACACTGTACACTCTGCACTGTGCACTTTACACTGTACGCTTTACACTTTACAATTTGCACTTTACATTCCACACTCTACACTCCACACTCCACACTTTAAACCTTACACTCCACATTCTACACTTTTACACTCCACACTTTAGACTTTACACTCTACACTCCACACGCTACACTGTACACTTTACACTTTACACCCCACACTTTGCAATTTACACTTTACACTCCACACTTTAAACTTTACACTCCACACTCTACACTTTACACTCCACACTTGACACTCCACACTTTACACTTTACACTCCACACTCCACACTTTACACTCTACACTTTACACTCACACTTTACACTCCACACTTTACACTATACACATGAGACTCTACACTCCACACTTTACACTCCACACTTTGCACTTGACACTTTACACTTTACAATTTGCACTTTACATTCCACACTCTGCACTCCACACTCTACACTCCACACTCTACACTCTACACTCCACACTTTGCACTCCACACTCCACACCTTACACCTTGGACTCCACACTCCACACTTTACACTTTACACTCCACACTTTACACTCCACACTCTACACTTTATACTCTACACTTTCCACCCCACACTTTACACTGTATACTCTGCACTGTGCACTTTACACTGTACGCTTACACTTTACAATTTGCACTTTATATTCCACACTCTAGACTCCACACTCTACACTCCACAGTCTACACTTTACACACTCTACACTGTACTCTTCGCACTCCACACTCTACACTCCACACTCCACACTTCACACTCACACTCCGCACTCCACACTCTACACTTTGCACTCCACACTTTACACTCCACACTCCACACTTTACACTCCGCACTCCTTCCTTTACACTCCGCACTCCTTCTTTTACACTCCACACTCCACACTCCACACTTTGCACTCCACACTCTTCCGCATTCCACAGTCTACAGTGCACTGGTACGGCAACAGGGGAAACATGTAGACTGTTCAAATAAGTTGTTTCACAACAGGTTCTACGTGAATGCATTCGGGTTTGTGGGCTGCATCTTGTAATTTTTTGGGCAGTTGAAAGGGCCAGGTTTGCGGTTGAGTTGCGAGTTGCGCACAGCGCAGGATGCAGAAGTTGTTGGGAACGTTTGGACAGACGCTTGAATTGCACTTGGAGCGGAACATCGGTATGTGATACCATTGATACCATGTAAACTCGGTTTGCAACTGTGACTGATGCATTGCTTGCTTTGCTGGGCCGTGCAGAGCACCCACCAGTGCACCGTTTGCAAGGATTTGGAGTCTTCGGCAACGAAGATCTCCACGGCTATCTGCGAATGGCAGAAGTTGAAACTGGCGTGAACGTTGGAGTGAATGATAGCACCTTGGATGATCATGCAGTTGCTTGGAAGATCAACTGTAACCATACGAACCTTTTACTCACATTTTTTAGGGTAGAAATGTGAAGTCTCTTTTCCCAGTGGATCGTGTTTTTTTCGCCTGATTTTTCCTATATTGGGAATATTGGTCGATTTTGATGTATATTAATATATATATATATATATTGATGAATTCCAAACAGTTTTCCCGTTCCGCACTGATGAATCAATTATCTTGAGGATCTGGGAAGATCCAACGTGACAAATCATTTGGATGGCTATCATTGGGATGTTTGCCTCTCCAGGCAAACAAAACTCTACTCTAAAACACTTAAATGACAAGAGTCCATCTGAGTTTCTTTTGTCCTTTTTGGTGTGTTTTCTTCATGTTATTTTTAGTTTATATGTGTTCATTTCTGAGAGATTGTGGCGATGGTTCTGATGCATGTCGTTAGTTTGTCAACCAAATATATGTCGTTACGTTCTGGCGATCGTTCAGTGCAGTCATGGATTTTATGGCACCCAATACCTTCAGATTTATGGCATCTCACATTTGTAACCCCGGAAACTCAGAATGTACAACCACCATTTAAGGGATGCGATGGGCATATTCATTGATATCAAGTCATGTTTACATGCTTTGCATGTAGTTTAATTAGAGTGACACCTGACACAAGTTTGCATTCGTTTGGCTGTGGAGTTTTTAGGAAGGTTCCAATTTCCGCCAATATACTGCGGGCCCATAGTTTTGACCGAAAAACAGTGAGGTGACAATTGTGATCAGGAGGAGCCGTTCAGGTGTTTCACCTTATTATCTATTATGCCTTTTTAGGAGTATACGGCCTTCTCATAGCAATCCTGCTTGCGCTTTATGTGTGGACAAGGCCAAAGCTAGAAATAGGAGCCTATCTTAAGCGTGCAACAAAGACGTTGATATTCAACAACAATTCTCACAGTAGTCATGTTTTGATTTCTGACCTGATCTGACCTGCAGTTTTGGGGTCCAGCGCCTCTTTGCCTCGGGAAGGCACCAAACCTTTGCTGGCCAGCCTTGATCGCGACAGTGATCCAGAGAGTCCCTCGAGTCCAGGGCGTGCGAGAAGAAGAAGGTGCCAGAGATTGATGCTTTCAATGAGCACATACTGAAGCAATGGGTTATACACGAGATTTTTGCACGAGTAGATGGAGTATCATGTGTTCTTCTTGATGTGATGCTTTTGCTATCATTGCGGATGTGTTTTCTCAATCATTCGCTGGAGTGGTGCCCCCCCCCCCCGCACTCTGCGCAAGCTGCAGGTCTACTATCGATGGGGACGTGGATGTGGTAAAACTCACACAGGGCACACAGGGCCGCAGCCTGGTCCTGCGGCCGCAGCTTGGCGCTGTCTTCGCCATACCTGGGGTAAACAAGGCCGGCATAGGCATAGAAATGCATAGAAAGGCTGAAGCAAGGCCTGGGGCAAAGCTGTTCGTTGAAACGTTCTCCTACTATCTTCACTTTGAAATCTGAGAAAGTATTGGAGGTAGCCTGGATACCACAGAATGCCCTTTTAGCACCAAGACCAAGCGACCAAGCGAAGTTCAGGGTGGACGAAAGTCTCCTTTGCAGAGTGCTCCTTGCTTCGCATTTTCGACTCGCAGTGAGGCCCCGCAGTGTGGCCGGCATCGGGGCCGCGTTTCTTTGTATTCTATTCGGTGGATGTGTTGGTGCGGCAGTTCCATGGAGAGAATGGAGATCTTTTTTGTGGGCTTTTTCGACTGGGTTCAAAAAAGCTATATCATTGGCGAAGCATATCCAAGGAGTCAAAGACTGAATTATTGACATTTATTGACATTTAATTGGGTTTTGCTCCAATTTCGTGTCAGATACGCTTTGTTTCAAAAGACGCGGCCATGTGAGGTTGGCTATTGGGGCCTGTATTTGGAACCTCGCATGCTGATGTCTGAGCTGCTTGGCGAATCTTGAGATCGTTCGGCCGACTGTAGGTTCATGACTGCCGGATGGAAGTTGATATATATATATATAATATAATATATATTATATATATTATAGATATATTATATATTATATATATTATATTATATATATGCATATATCGAAGACTGTACGCTTAAAGTTATGTGAGTTTACAAATTTATATGAGTTGTAACGATACTGTGCTTATAACCCCCCTATAACGTCTCTATCACCTGCTTCCAAGTATGTAAAGTTTCACAACTTTTGACAAGTAAGTTATAACTTCAGCTAGCTGGCTACGTGAAGTTGTAAATGTTTAGGTAAGATATAAGTTCTTAACGAACTTATCGCAAGTATCTTATCTTGATATTATCTTTTCATGACCATTTTAGCAGACTTAACATAAGTGCTTAGGATCTGTTATCATAAGTTGTGGAAAGTTATCAATAGTTACTAAGACCACATGGTTGTGACAGGAATTTAAAGAGGGCTTCATGTTTACATATATGATCGTAATGTTAAAGAAGTTTGCATTTTTTCTGAAAAGGTTATGGTTTCTAAGATTTGAACATAGAGTTTCTGTACATAAAGGATATGGTCTGCAAAGATCGTTTCTGTAAAGGACATGGTTTGCAAAGACAGTTCCTGTAAAGGATATATAGATATATATGATATATAGGTTTTATTGAATTTTTCTTATATATTATATAAAATATATAAACAAGATTTGCTCAATCATATTGAAGGTATAATGGCTTTACTTTTTCTAAATTGTAGGAGCTTTTCGATTTAGTGTTTTGTATTTCTATATTTTTGTCATGAATATGGTGTGGTTTAGTGATTGTTTTGTATATAATTTTAGTTTTTACATATGTTTAAATATGTTTCATTTTTTTTAAACAACAACTAGATTAAATAAACCCTGCTATGGTTCTGATTGTAATAGCTATAGTGTAGATTGAACGAGCCATAGTTGCCATAGTTTAGACTGAACCAGCAAAAGTTCAAATTGGCTATACTGGTAATTTTCCCATTGGTTTGGCACTGCGAAAGGGCTTAAAAAGGGCGGCCTTTTTGCGCCCAAAAAGGGTTTCAAAAACAAAGAAAAAGGTCGCCATCAAAAATCCCAAACCAAAAGGAAAATTACTAGGCTATAATTCAGATTGAACTAGCTATGGCTATAGTTCTAAATGAACAAGCTATAGTTCGGACTGAACTAGCTATAGTTCAGACTGGCTACAGCTTAGATCGAACTAGCAAGGGTTCAAGCTGAACTAGCTATAGTTCAAACTAACGTAGCTATAGTTCAGCCATAGTTCAGCCATAATTCATTTGATAATTCAAGTTAAAATTGCCATAGTTCAGCCATAGTTCCATTTATAATTTGAATTAAAATTGCTATAGTTCAGCCATAGTTCAGCTATAATTCATGTTATAATTCAGGTTCAAATTGCCATAGTTCAGGCATAGTTCCATTTATGATTTAAGTTGCCATAGTTCAGCCATAGTTCCATTTGTATTTTGAACTAAGATTACTATAGTTCAGCCATAGTTCAGCCATAGTTCAGCCATAGTTCCATGTATAATTTAAATTAAAATTGCTTTAGTTCAGTCATAGTTCAGCCATAGTTCCATTTATAATTTAAATTAGACATTTAAAAAGTTGAGACATATTGTTTAAAAAAACATTGTGTGTAAAATATCAAGGCTTTTAAGGACATTCTACACGTTTTTTCGGTTTATAATTGCTTTTTAGCATAACATAAGTAATTCATAACAAAATAAACACCCAATTTAAAATAACATAATGTTCCTCCATGTTTGTATATTTTTATCAAGAGGTGTCTTTTCAGACTTTAACCTGTTCAGGAACTGCCTTTAGCGACTGGATCCTTTTCAGGAACTGTCTTTCCAGACTGGACCCCCTTTCAGGAACTATCTTTTCAGATTTGATCCTTCTTAGGAACTAACTTTTCAGATTTGATCCTTTTCAGGAACTGTCTTTTCAGACTTGATCCGTTTCGTGTCAGATTTGATTCTTTTCAGACTTGATGCCTTTTCCTTTTTTTAAAGACAGTTTTTTCGACGAGGCAGCAAGCGCAAGACACATTTTTTCCCCACCCGGATTCCATGTCCACAGTTAGCTGGCGCTGTTCCACCTCTGAAAAGGAAAATTTCTGAAAAGAAATCACATCATATATGATAGTTCCTGGAAAAGGAAAGAATTTGTAAAAAAACTCAACTATTTCAATGAAAGAAAGAAAAGAAAACGATTCAGGAAAACGCCTCCAATAGAACAAACGAACAAAAATACTCAAAATCGTATCAACGCACGTTCGAAACAAAATAAACTGTATGAAGTTATTTTTTTGGCTGCTACAATAGTTTCACATGCACTGTGCAAAACAATCCAAAACCGACGTCAGAGCCTTTAAAAAATATAAACAGTTATCAAAACTTATCAACCATTTACAAATAATTTATCAGAGTCAACATAACTTTTTGATAAGTCCTGTTAACTTCCAACATAAGTTCTGTAACTTGTTTACATCTATGCTAAGGCTGTAAAGTCTTCTACCTTTAAACTTTAAACGTACAGTCTTCACAAGCATGTAGGTTCAGGGCTATGCACTGGAATACACTACGTACTGTGAACGGCCATCAAGTTGTTTGTTTTGCCAGTACGCCCACTTTCAGCCCAGCGTTTCTTTCTGTTGCCTGCCACCCATGTGGTAGGGCATTTAAGATCTCAAAAGCGTGTGAGACTGCTGAGCTTGCTTTCAACGCACCACGCAGAATTACTTCGAACTTGCAGGTTGCAAAGGGTACAAAGGAATATTGCACAGAGACTTTCTGTCCTGCCTAGAGAGTGAGCGGATCTAAGCAGATAGTGCAGCCAAAGACTTTTCTTAGAAAGCTTACACAGGTGTCTTGTGGGTGGCTATTCAATCCTGCATCGACTACCATTTGGCTCACTGTGCAGGGAATGTGACTCAATCACAACCATCCAGCACTTGGGTTTGGACGCCATGCACGTCTACAAGATTTTGGAGAGCTTTTACTGCCCCCAGCTCAGCGCCAATATGGGCTACTGGAGCCCTTCAGGTTTTTTGGGATCCCAAAAGATCCCAAAAGATCCAAAAAGATCCAAAAAGAGTGTCCCACCGGAATGCTGGCTGCTTAGGTCATAGTCTCCGGACGTCTACCTTAATGGAGGTCCTGTGTCCTGCCGTTGTGGGTGTCGGAGGCGCTGGTGCTCTTGCACGTCTTTCACACCAATAGAACAACCGAAAGTGTCAACAATGTCAGAAAGTGTCCACAATGTCGAATGGGCATGGAAGCTTGTTTGCGTGTCAGAGTGTTTCGATTCGGATTGCTGATTTTGAGAGATCTCTAAGCTTTCGGATGGAGTGGGACTGAAGTTGCCCTGTTGCGAATGCTGGATGTTCAGGTGCAGTTGGTGCTTTACGAATTGCTTACGGACAAGCATACTTTAGCAATTGGACGCCAAGTTTGAACGAAGAGCATGCTGACCGGCTGCCGTCCTTTTGGGCTTTTTGCTTCTTAAACATTCCGACATAGAGTCATAGAGATCCACCAAGTTTTGAACTCATCGCTGAAGTAGAAACGTCGTGTGCTCTTGTTCTTGTCCATTTCAAAAAAAAACTATTGCTGGATGGACAGGCTGTCTCAGTTCCAAAATAGAAGCTCAAGATCTGTTCGACTCTTGCCGGTCAAAGTTCCCCATGCTTCAGTTGGAGCAAGGACAGACGAGGAATCAATGATTGAACTGAAGAGGCTTTATTCCTTACGCACGGTTACTTTGGTTGCAGCACTGAAGACAAACAAAACTCTCACCTTGTGATGTGGATGGGGGTGAGGTGGGGTCAGTTGAACCTTGCTCCAAGGTTGGAACGAAGTTTGTGCTCAGGCTGCTGGGTGCACTTTGTTTGCTCGTCAACTTGTATTGGTATTTATTATATACCATGTAATTTATCACTATTTAATTAATATTTATTATACTATATTCTTTGGGGCATGAACCTTGTACACTGAAACGAAACCATGACGCCAGATCAAGCAACAAGCTGTGAGGTATCACAATTCAAAGCTTCATCCAAGGGCAAACCTGAGACTTTTACGCCAGGTGTTGGCGAATGCGTCTTTCGATGATTTTCTGCTTCCAAGTTGTGGTGATGTTGTGGCTTCGCTGCTTGGTTGGGTATCATCCTCTATCTGAGCAAAGTTCCTCACAGAAAATCCGGGAAATATGAACAGGAACTCTGGGGTTTTTCTTTAGTCAGCCCTTCAAAGGTGTCTAACTTGTGCTTCAGCTTTGAAGACCACTTGGTATTTGCCCTGCCCGGATCTAGCTGCTGCTGTCAGGCTACACAGTGGATTTAGCAATGGACATCGAAGCGATGAGGATTTTCTTGGTACATAAGCAGCCGTGGTTCTTCACCTTGAACCTGCTTGGCGTTTTCCTGGGCCTACTGTGGACGGCGTATGACTCTTTGGCAAAATGGATAACCCCAGTGGCATCTTCGGTCCGAGGGTCAAGCCCAACCCCGAATAGAATGACTCGATGACTTCACACCCCAGTAGAATCACTGCCTCACATGGGAACAGCAAAGTAGCAATGGGCAAAGGTGAAATAGGTGAGAAAACTCTCTGGAGGCAGTGGGAGACAATTCATCCCATCTCCAGACTCATCAGACTCAGTGACTTCCAGACGATTCCCAGGAATTCTACATCGTTATAACCACACCTGGAGCCAAGATCGTGAAGACTGAGATTTTTTTTGCGGGGCTCACCCTGCCATTGTTGGGCCAGCTTCTTGACCTGGTATGACTCGGTATGACTAGGTCCGACTTGGTATGGTTGGTGCAAGTGTTTTGCAATCCGTCCGAGCTTGAAACCTGGTTCCGCACCTTCAAACTTATCAATGACTGGGCTTCTAAAGCGGTGGCAAGGGACTTGGGGGCATAACAGGAAGACTCGTCAACGGTGTAAACCAGTCTTGCCCCAGGAGCAGCAAGACCGATATTGCTGTCGGGAAACCACTGATAAGCGATCATTTGGAGCTTACTACGCCTGGGAGGAACAATCTTTCTGTAAGCCCCTTTGTATCACCTTGGAGCAGTAGCAGTTCACAAGCCAAACACAGCCCTTAGGGCTTGCAGTAGGGTTTCAATGAGGAGAAAAGATCATGACAACAGCTTTGGCCACATCCCCAGAGCCCAGAGGGTTCCTGGATGCGTCAGTCGAGGCATGTCACGTATTTGGCGATTCTCTCGCTGTATACCGGCATGCTTCATCCCTTTCTCTTCGTCTCCACCTTGGCAGAGGCCATTTTGGAATCCTCCATCTCATCCTTTATTCAGAGCCTCGGAATGCCTTGGAATGCCTTGTGCAGGATTCGGAACTTTTGGAAAAAAAAGATGTCTCAGGTACATTCAGGTACCATCTGTTGGCCTGACCAGTTGTCACCAGTTGCTTTACGTCAGGACCTATGCTGTGGTCTTCACACCCTTGACTTCGGCACAGAAGACTCAGCTGTACATCTCCATCTTTTCGTCTTTTATTTCCATTGGTTACGCCTTCAGCACCATAGATCTGTTTCAGGGCGGAAGGATGTTGGTGAAAGTGCCTGGATACTGCAAAAGCTGCTTGGAAGCCACAATTTAAAAGTAAACTTGTGGGCCTGCGGGTGGGCAGTTTCAAAGAGGCCACCGTCAACAACAACATTGTGTCAGTGGTCAAACTATTTGGCTTCAACAATGGGTCTACGATGTGTACTCGCACGTTTGACCCACGAAACAGTCCTTGTGACCCATAATATACGCAGTTCAACCAGGCTACAGTGGCTACAGCCGAAATGTGGGTTCTTCCTGATGCCGAGGTTTTAATGGCCGCTTTGCCACGGTGCTCCTCTTCCGGGTGGCAGAAATCACTTCCCGTGCTACGTCGCTGGCTCTCTTTCAAGCGGTGACACGGCCGTATGGCGTCTCGGCAAGAGCACGGTGCCTGCCATGCTGCATGGCACTGCATGTCTGTGACGAATGGAAAGGCTGAGCTTGCATGGCTTGAAGTGCTTGGAAGATATGTAATTCATTGCATGGCATGATAGCCAATGTATGATCGATTGATATGTAGATACACAACAACATAATATGAGTATGAAGCTGAAGGGAGGAGTATCTGATCGCAGAGTCCACTACTGGATTCCTTCCTTGTCATCCGCTGGGTTGTTGGCTACTGTGGCGGTAGGGTCACTCTGAGCAGTTGAGGCATGTTCGTGGTCATCGCAGCAGATGGCATTATAATGTCAGTCGTGACAATCTTCTTCCAGTGTCAAGTGGCCAAGTTTGCACCCATCGAAGGCTGTTCTTTCGTTCGTCTGATTCTGAGTGTTTGTGATGCCACGAACAACAAGGCTGTTTAGTCAAGGACTTGCATCATTGCAGCCTTTGGTTGCCTTTGGCACATTCAACTGGGAGGGTGAACATGGTGCGCCTTGAAGCGCCATCAAGGTCAAAACTTTTTCTATGTCATCCCGTCGGTGCTCTTTTGCCGCATGGCGCGCCTCAGCTGAAGCGCAGCCTGATGCAGCCTGAAGGGGTGTTGGTGTTGTGGGTGTTGCACTCAGGCCCATATTGGAGAAAGACACAGTTATCACCGTGCCACCAGTGGTCTACTATGCCATCAGGCACGATATGGCACGATTTCCGATCATTTTGTGAGGGTTTCTGGTGAAACTGGACGGGAACTGAAGTAGTTTCGCATGATGACTTGGGGCGACAGAAACTGGACGGGGTCTGTTGGGTCTGGCGTCCCAGGTACCTAGAACTGGGGGCCATGGTGGCTGTGGCTGCCGAGTTTCTGGACTGGGACCTGGAGGAGGCCAGATCTCTTTGATTGTTTCATAGTGAAACTATCAAAAATGGCATACCGAAAGGTATGGCAATGAGTTTTTTTTTCAAAAGGGACGGACTTTCTGAAATTGGCCAGGAACATCAACAATTAAGTAATGCCACTCTCCTTTTGCAATTAGGGTTTGAGACTTTCTTTGGTTTCTCATGATCTCACCCAAGCTAGCGGTAGGTAGCTAGCTGGGCTTTTTCCTCAGAAAGAGGGGCCTGTATCCTTCACACAGCCCAGTGTCAGGTGGAACTCCTCGTAGTACTGTAATGTGATATGCAAGGGCTCTATTTCCCCACAGTCCTCGTCATTGCGATGACGTCGCCGCCACCGCCACCACCACAACCACCACCACCACCAGCATCATCGTTGTCGTCGTCGTCGTCGTCATCGTCATCGTCATCGTCGTCGTCGTCGTCATCATCATCATCATCATCATCGTCATCGTCAGAAGTCAGAAGAGTTGTTAACCTGACTGTCTCCTTTTTTCCCCCTTCCTATTCGCTTTGGCACAGGAAAAACACAGTACCATCTCATATTTCGATGCAGATATCTATCTTTTGACACAATTTTTTCAGTGCAAATTCGCAAGTTTCTGTTTCCCACAGCAGGACAGCTGAATAGCTCCACCTCATGTTTCTGGGGATGGAAAAAACGCCGGCCTTCAAAGACACAGTAGCCATGGGCCATGGCCCAGCCACCAAACTTGGAGCCATGGCCTGTCCACGGAAAGCTCCCGGGAAATTTGAAAACGCTTGTTTTAGTGGCTTCAATTGAATGGAAAAAAACGCAATTCATGAACATCAAAGAATATCCAAGAGGCACTAAGGAACACTAAGAAGGCTTCAAAAAATGGAGAAAATAATCTCAGAAAAGCGAAGAACAACTTAACAAAAACAAAAAACATCTTATATCAAGATGGCCCAAGATGCTCTCTAAGCAATCACTCATTGATTCGGTAGGCGCATTTTTTTCCAAACCACACTTGAATGGATGCTTGTACAGCCGACATCAAAGTGACTTAGGTTTCTTTAGTTTTCGTGACTTGTTGTTAGTTTTTCTGTAATTAATGGCCCCAAGAGCTGAAAACTGCCACAAGTTGATGATCACATGAAACAAATCCTGTGAAATTGATTCAGATTGAATACAACACAACTAGTTTATGTAGAGGGAACAGTTTTTTTTTCCCCGGGCGTTTGTGCCTGTGACTTCTCCAGCTCTGCAGCGGTGCAGCGACAGGCAAAGCATCTCTTCGAGGACGATGGATTCATCGTAGCAGCATTTGTTCTCAGTACCTTGGTGATGCTGGTCCTTGGCATCATCATCAGGAGAGGGCTGGATGCTTGTTGTGGGCTGACTAGATGTGATTTGGTTCTGGCAGTATTGGACCCACCAATAGCCTAACCCTAGGGTTGCAGTCACATCCTTGGGCACTGAGGTGTTTCAATACCAGGTCCGCTGCAACTAAGAAAGGCATCTAGAGTCATCTAGAGTAAACAAATGATTGTTTCTAGATGTTTCTATATCTGCAGCACTTGGGTGTGCTCTTTTATTTCAATACGCCAAGTCAGGAGCTTCCTCAGTGTTCGAACCTTGATGGACAGCTCTGTGGAGATCTGGAGTGAAGATGAGTTTAATCATGTGCAGCATGCATTGAAGAATCGTGTCCTCGAGGACCGCGGTTTCGCAAAACCCCCAGGGTCGAATATCTCCCCAAGGTGGATCACGTGACAACTTGAAGTGTAGAATGTGACAGAAATGTGTAGATAAATTCAGGTACCGGGGCAGGATGGGTAAAGGAGCTTTGGACCGTGGCTGTGCAACTTCCAGTGCCATCTTCCACCCTGGTCGGCATCGCTTGTCCACATTGCGGCAGGATCATGCTGCAGACCCGAAGGCGATGAAAGTCGTGACCAAAATCTTGGAGCAAAATCCCACTTTCACAAGCTCCGAGTGCCATGCAGTAGCCAAAGAAGCAGGCAAAGCATGCACAAAGCCAGGGTTCTTGGAGGGTTGAAAGGTGCAGAGCCGTGACATTCTCTGTAAGGGGAGGTGTCCCATGAATGATCCCAGCACATAGCAGCTACGTTTGGTGGGACATGCATTCAGCCCCGTGGGACTTGAATCACTCAATTGCGACTGTTTTCATATGGGGATGTATCAATACCTATAAGTACCATTTTTAGGGGGATGAACATCCATTTACCAGCTATTTTGATGTTCACCAGGGGTACAAGGTTTTGACCCATCCCCATATCTTTTCATACTGTATCTTTTCTTACCTGATCAACCTATCTCTTCCAGAGTCCATGCACCTCCGCCATCTCTGCGAGGCTTCCCATCATCTGCGCACTGGGATTCCAACTTTCTGAGAGCCAAGGTGGTGCTGATTATCAAGCAGGCCTGACGGTTGTGTGAGTTGAAAATTGGTCAGCCACCACTATATAATCAAAACATAATGGGATACAGTATCAGCATAGTCAGCTTGGATCTGTTGATACACCAAGTAGCATAGCAGCTCCGTTCACCAGAAGGATGTAACCTCCGTAGCAAAGGGCCGCATTCGGTTGCTCCAATTTAGCGACCGTCTCTGGTGTCTTGATCAGCCTTGAATATCCCAGGCCGATGGGAGGAAAGCACTGTAGTTTGCACTGTTGCTGAAACCCAATCTCTGTAGGTTTGCCGGGTCTGACCTGACCGGGTCAAATTTTGAGCCCAGGCTTTGCAAGCTGTGGAAACCTTTGACTTCACACGCGCTCCCAACCGCTTCAGAAGCACTTTGAGCTCCAGGTGTTGCAACAAATGACATCTATGTCATGATGAAACTGACCTGTTCAGCCTTGGACATGTCCAGAAGATTCACTGGTCTGGTATAGTTTGGTTGGACTTCTATTCATGAACACTCGAAAACTCTCGCTGCGAACTTTGTCACGCGCTTTGGCAGATAAATTCAATGTCAGCTTGGGGATGATTTAGTCACTCCGCGAAAACCACGAAAGGAAACACCGTGAAACATCTGACCTTTTCACCCCTTTTGTATTCTTTCGTTTAAAACAACGCAACGGACAGGTCGCTGGTCTCCATCCGCTCCACTCGATGCACCCTTACATGTAACAGAGATTCATCGATGCTCAGCTGCCATAAGTCATCATAAAGACATCACAATTGGTCATGTGATAATCATGAGACCAAGGGGCATTCCTTGACGATCAAAGCTGCAATCTAAGCTTGTAGCCATAGCAGCCAGGCTGAAGGCAGGGTTAATCCTCTCCGAGTAGGGAATCACTGGGAATCAACTTACAACACTTTGAATTGATGGGCTTCTACAATCTTTCCAATGTTGGGCCAACGAAAGGATAGTCAGACAATTGCTTGATTTGAGGCAGATCTGCTATTTTCTGAGGATCGTTGGTCAAATGTCTACAGATGAATCAAAGCAGAAGTTTGTACTTGAGTGTGTGGATCAGTCTGAGCGATTAACGTCAGGCCGGTGCAGTTGCATTTGGGTCTCTCTGCAGTTGGACGGTTCAATGGAATTTTGATGGTTTCCTGCATGCAACATGTCATTTTGGAGGCGAAGCTTGGAGGATTTGGTGATGTTCAGACCACGAATTTCCAACAAATAAATGCAAAGATTTCCAAGTCAATACCTTCGAGATTGGTCAACGTTGGAGGGTGATCTGGATCTGCTGCGCAGGGCAGACTTTCCAGTTGAGAGCTTTGACCAGCGGCCACCTGATTGGATTGGTGAAAACAGAGCCATTGACCTACGAGCTTCGTGCACAGTCGGGAGCCTGGGCGGAACTCGGGGATTGGAATGACTTCGCAGCGATACCTGAATCATGGTCTGTTTGGAAGTCTTGTTTTGTGTGTTGGATTGTAGGAAGCCATGTTGTGACTTTGAATGTCTGGATCATGGCACTCGACATTGACATGAACCAGTCCCAGTTTATTTGCAAGAGATGGAACGCAAGTCTGGCCTTTGGCATGGCTCGTCTTGTGCACCAGCGAGCACCCATCAAGGTCCAAATGGGAGGATGAAGCTGCAACTTTATTTTCTGCCCTTCTGGTGCATCAGGAAATTTACAGGCAGGGTAGATTGTGCTGGTGCAACATGGTGCAACACGGTGCAGCCTTTAAGTTCCAAGCCTATTTATCAACTAATTACTTGGGGCCTAGTCAACCTTGGGATCATCAGATTTTGAGCGCCCGAATGCAGATGGCTTTGGGTCAACACAAAGCACCCAGGATAAGGACAGATCCGTGAGTAATGGTAGGCCTGGTGGGTGTGCACTGTATCTGGCGGAATCCGTTCCCAAGGTCTTTCTGTGTGGGGAATCCGTAACAATTCGTAACCTTCCGCCAGGTCCGCCAAGGCCTTTTTAGACTTGGTCCACATGGGAGCTGACTTGAATGTGGGCGAGCTTCATCGGGCCAAGGGACGGAAGAGACGGCTGAGCCTCAAGGACATGTTGGAAAGCGGCAGGTATCATTCTGGAAATGGTCAGAGGATGAGTCCAATTGAGTTTTTTTTTTCCCGCAGTACATACATTTTTTTAGCGAACATCGGTGAACATCGGTGAACATCGGTGAACATCGGTCAACATCAGTGAACATCTTGTTCCAGTCTTGTTTGATTTGGCCATGATATCAATGATACCACTCTAGGATCAGAAAGCCACAGGACTGGGATCCTCTGGGCTGGAAGATTTACAGCATCAATGGGAAACTCGCAACCAGAGAAGTTGTAGATGAGATCCTGGAGAAAGGTAACTTGAATTGGGATGCCTTGGGTGTGACTTCTGTCCTGGGCCATCACGAAGTGTCACAAACATTGCAAGGGTCTTATCTTCTGTGATTGGACATTTGGATCCCGGCAGAACAAATTTGGCAGGGATCTTGCCACGAGTCTTCCATCCATTCCAACAGTTTTAATGGTCAGGTAGAGGATCCACTGTGGCACGGACGTACTCCATGGATTCGCAGCTGGACGCAGGCTGGATCAGGTTCGCACATCTTCAGCGAAAAACGTCGAAGCTATTTGGATGCTGAAAGTAAGCTGGGAGTAGGCAGTACCAGATGTCCTGTTGATCTCCAGCATAGCTTCGAGGCCCCAAAGTGAGCACCCGAAGCTGTAGTGACTGTAGTGGAAGTTTTGTGCCACACATCGCTCCTATTTTCTAAGTGAAACAACTCACTTATTCAGATGTTGACAAGGTATTCTTGGTGACTGAGTCTTGCATTCTTGAAGTCATCATCGTTTTAAAGCAGTTGATTTCTGAATCCTCTATGAAAATATCGCGTGTCACATCATTTTCTCCTCATCTGCAACCACAGCTGTGGAAATTGCTCCAGTTGAAAACAGCAATGCCTTGGCAAAGTCTTTGCGCCCGGGAGCAGAAGCGGCAGCACGAGGGGAGTACATCGTGCAATTTGTCAGGCGTGCAGCGGAATCTTCAGAAGTGGTACTTGAACAGCGACCTTTGAACCCACATGAACCCACTGTATCCTTTTGAGTTCGAATGCCCGAGAAGCCTTTTGGAATGCCAAGGGTGATGCTAGGAACTACCCACCGAATTGGATGGAGTCTACGATTTTTAAAAATGAATCTTCCCCAGAGTCTGGAATGCTCTGGGACGTTCTTTGCTATTTCCCAGCACGAATCGGACCAACCTAGTGACTGATAGGTGCGAAAAGGGAGTATCCCAGAACCAGCTCTGGGTGAATAGCTGCAAGACAGTGACAGCCAAAATGACTGCAACAGGAGAGATTCCAAGACTACTGTGATGGCTGGGAGCGAGGCGTGCAAGATTTGAGCTGCCATGGGTGTAGCACTTGACTGATTTAGGCAATGAGGCTTTGTTCATCAACAGAGCTGTGACATATATTCATACATATTCATAAATATATTATATTATCAATATATTGTCAATTCCTTTTGAGGGGAAGCTTGGTTGTGAGGAAGTCGAATGAAGTGATCATGTTAAACGTGCCGCAGATGCAGACGAGCAGAAGGGTGCTAAACCTTTGCATTGGCTCACCATCCAGCTCAAGCGCACTCGAGGTGCTGTTGCAGCATGCAGCTGGTTGGACGGAGGCTCACATGGGTATGTCCGAAGGTTTGAGCCTTAAACTCCTCACATCCTCAGCTGCCTGACAATCACCATGGGAGAGGAGTGCCATTCAGGTAAGAGTATGACTTTTGAATACTTTTCAGTACAACTTGACACACAACCTCATGACTGGAACGGCCTTAGTCGTTCTCTTAAGCTATCCTCCCAGGTTTCAGCAATGAGGACGCTGAAGGAGAGGCTGGGTCACTGAAGGTGTCACCTGTATTCCTTGACTTTCGCCAAGAGCCGAGTTTCTAACATCGATTGCTTTAATCACATCTCAGAAAGGGTAGAGATTGCTCAATGGCTTGATTTGGACAGATTCGGTTTTGTCGCGCCACTTGGTTTCGCATTTGCAAACCATGGAAACGATGCGCATTGACCAGGCGGTGGATCGGGTGATCAAGGCCGTGTTTGTCGAGGGTGAATCGTTTCAAGGTGGACTGGCCTTCACCTTGGAGCCAGCCGAATACGGCAGCAAGGATGATCCCAGCATCTATCAATGGACAGCAGGGCTCATTGGCACCCTTTCAGAGCCTTGGAATGATGTTGAAAGGGCGACTACATTGACTGTAACAGATCCGACCACTGAAAGGTATACAGGATGTTAATGGATGTTGTTGAATCCTCAATTGAAACATATTTTGCTTAGTGTTTCTGCAGTGAGAGGCAACCGCTTTTGCATGAAAGGAACTTGTCCCGGACTTGTTGGTTGACAGAGCTGCCATTCCTCGGTTTCCGCATTCACCACTAACATCCACTCGCTCAAGTTTGAAAGTAAAGCGACAAGAAGAAGAGAAAGGATATGAACAAGTGATAACAAGCGCACAAAAAGATAACAACATATAACAACATATGAACAGAATATGAACAATCTATGAACAGAATATGAACAAACTATGAACAGATTGTATATGAACACATTTGAAAACAGCATGCCGAGCCCGAGCTGCCAGGACACGGTCCAGCTTCAGCAGTCCTTTTCTGAGAAGTATCGCACCATGACCCTCGTGGCTTGCAACGCTCGATCCCTTGGTTTGGACCACGTGACAGGACGTTTGAACAGCTCCAGCAGCTGTTCACCGTTTGATGAAATCAATAAATGCTGAGAGTGGTCGTGAGCATTGTTAGTTTGTGAGTCTTCACCAGCATGACATTTCACACCGCTGAACATGCCAACACCTGCACCACATATCCTCAAGACACACACACACACACACTGCAGACATACCAAAAAAGAGTGTTCGTCAGTCCATGTTTCTTCCAAGATAGTATAGTAGAGGATGGCTTGACGTGAAATAAATGATCCAATTGAAGAGTCGTGTCATTTTTTTGGTTGGAGGAATTTTGCAAGCAGATCATGACCTGCATTTGCGCATCTTCTTGAAACTGAGCTGCAAACAGACAGTTTTCGGCGGCCCGAGCAGCACGAAATTCTTGGCGATCCGGTGCTCAGGAGCTTGATGCAGCCCATACTTCAGGACTCTGGAACTCCAGTGAGACTGGGCCCCTGGGCGGAGGGAATCAGCAGAGGGAAACGACAGGGAGCGATAATATCCCTATGCTGATAGTGTCACTTGGTAGTCTGGTGCCTGGCTGGAGATATGCTGATTGCTGCCGCAAGTTACAGCAATTTGTACTCCAGAGTTCATGAGTACAGGACATCCGTGTGGAGTACAACTTCGGCGAGGAAACTCTGGACGTTGAATTCGATGTTGATGAGGCAGCTGTCAACAAGCCATTGGTCGTGGCAGGATTCCACGTCGACGATGAAGATGTTGCTCGGCACCAATTGATCTTTGATACTAGAGACATGTCCAAGTCATAATTTGCAAAGCCAATTATTTCTTCGAGTGACCTCTCACAAACTGACATCCTATTTGACATATATTCTGAGATTCTATCTGACTATTTTCATCCGGCATATATTTTGATTTTTTTCTGACAATCCTCATATTCTCATTCTGACATTTTATTTGCTTTTCTATTTGACATATATTTGGCCATTTCACTTGACATTCTATCAGGCATAGTATCTGACATCTTTTCTGGCATAGTGTTCGGGTGCGGGCCCAGAGACCCTGCAAGCTGGCGATAGGCTTCAAGTCGAGGCCCAGAGAGTCAGCTGGCGTAACCTAAAATCTAGAGACCCTCTGGCAGGTGGGCAAACCACAACAATTCTTGACAATTTTTAAGCCTAAACTGCTTGAAATCCCAGACTCAGACTCTCGTGAGGAACTGACGCCTGCGGCGAGTGCTGGGGTTCAACTTGGAGACCAGCTGCTGATGGTCGAAGTCACGGAGCTAGACGGCAGGATGAAGAAGCTCAGCGAGAAGCTTTGTGAACTAAAACCAACTGAAACCGTCAAGCTATATGTGAAATCCTGGCCAATAGTAACGTAATAGAATGTATACTTTTGACATATAATCATAATAATCAATATATATATATGTATATTATATGATGTAGAAATATATATATATAATCACGAAAGCTAGCGTCAGCTAGCTGGAGTCTTCTTGCTTTAGCAAGTATTCCGGGGGCTGCTCAAGGACATCACGTGATTTTTCACGCGAAAGGGGGGGACCCCCCCCTCACCACCACCACCACCACCACACCACACACATCATCATCATCATCATCGTCATCATCATCATCATCATCATCATGACATCATCATCATCATCATCATCATCATCGTCGTCGTCGTCCTCGTCATCGTCATCGTCATCATCATCATCATCATCATCGTCATCGTCCATCATCATCGTCATTCATCAATCATCATCGTCATCATCATCGTCATCATCATCATCATCATCATCATCATCATCATCATCATCATCATCATCATCATCGTCATCATCATCACATCATCATCATCATCATCGTCATCATCATCATCATCATCATCATCATCGCCATCATCGTCATCATCATCATCATCATCATCATCATCATCATCATCATCATCATCATCATCATCATCATCATCATCATCATCATCATCATCATCATCGCCACCACCACCATCATCATCATCATCATCATCATCATCGTCATCATCATCGTCATCATCATCGTCATCGTCCTCGCCATCGTCCTCGTCATCGTCATCATCATCATCATCATCATCGTCCTCGTCATCGTCATCGTCATCGTCATCATCATCATCATCATCATCATCATCCATCATTCATCATTCATCATTCATCATTCCTCATTCATCATTCATCATTCATCATTCACCATTCACCATTCATCATTCCTCCTCATCATCATCATCATCATCATCGTTATTCAATTACAATTTATCATTATTGGCAATTATTGGCATTATCACGAAAGCTAGCGTCAGCTCGCTAGAGTCTTCTTGCTTTAGCAAGTATTCCGGGGCTCCCCAAGGACATCACGTGATTTTTCACGCGTAAGGCCCCCCCCCTGCCCCCTTCCCCATATATATCGTTGTTATATATCATATATCATACATCATATATCATTGTTGCATCCTCGTTGGGACGAACAATGCCGCGACACGATGATGACAGTCCCTCCGCAACTCACCTCTTCCCTTCCTTCTTTCTCCTACCCCGCTAGCTTTCGTCATCCACCCCCGGCCTCAAGTTATATATATATAATACAAAAAACACAGATACCTGTACATGGTAAAGCACCTTTTTGACTCTGCCTTTAGAATTTTTCCGACTACTGAAGCAGTGTCCAACGCCTATTGCGAATGGATCATAGATCTCGGACATGTTGCAGACCGTTGGTCTGAGAGCCAAGAAAAAGAACCAAAGAGTGGGGTGCAGAATCAACTCTGCCATCGACCTTCCAGGCTTTTTGCAGCCTCATCCCAGCAATTTGAACCTGCATATTCAACACCGGACCCAGAAGTTTGGTATATGTAGCATAATATAACACAATGTATATAACGTAAATGTTGTGTAAAGATGTGATGCAAGAGAAGTATGACATATTTCAACCAATCCCATGCATCAGATCGCATCAGGAAGATCACGAATTTCCAAGAGATGCGTCAACTCCTGGGCCTCAGCGACAGTGAAGCCACAGCTGTGGCTATGACGCTGACCTTTGGGTCCCAGAGTCGCTGGAAGACCGAGGAGAGTAATGAGACAGTGAAGAAAGCCGTGCCTTGGGCCTTGCACTGACAGTTGAGGGTGACTGAGGATGATCTGCAGATATCATGGAGCTATGCCTATGTTATCTACATATTTCTATGTGATATGCATTGATGTGATGTATGTTTGTTTGTCTGTCCGTTTGTATGCGTACACCTGTGGATATGAGCCAACACCCAGACACACGCACACACAGCTGCTCAGGTCGCGCAGGCTGAAAGCATCTCTGAGCTCCTGCCGACGTGGCAGGAGATCAAAGAAGGTGCCAAGAGGTGCCCTGCCGCTGACAAAGCGCTGACAAATTAGTGCTGCGTTAGCTATTTTGGTATATTTTGGTGGCCCGAAACATTTTTGCTCGGTCCTAAATTTGCAGTGTCGTGGCGGTGTGCTTGGATTCATGTGGGCAGTTGTGTCTTCATTGTGAGGACAATGCCGTGTGCATATTATTATTCTCTGTCTTCAGATTTATGTGTTTGTGATAATCGTGGAAAATGACGCTGCCAAGTGTTTCATCAAAGGGATAGCGAATAGACGCACTCCTGAGGCAAATGGATATGATGCCGTGTAAATGCGCACGGAGTTGAGTGGTGCAGTGCATGCCCATGTCCGTCCAGCATGCCACAAACCATTGATTTCATGCGGATTTGAGGATATTCCAAGAGAATCATAGAAGGCAACCACACCAGGTAAACCGGAGGAAGTGAAGTCTTTTCGTCCACATTGCCTTACTTTCCATTTACTTTTGCTTTCCGCATGCTTTCGTCACTAGAGTCCTCAGGTGTCTGGAGAGACGCGACTTTTCGAATCTGAGGGAAGCAGTGATGAGCCGGGCCTTCCTCTTCCGTGCCAAATGTGATCTCGTCCAAGCGTTGGTGACAGCAGGTTTTGCGTTGCACCATGATGTCTTCGTTTCGAAGGCGTGCATTCCCCGAAGAAAATCGGAATTTTCACATGGAATGAACATGAAATCCACAGAACATCACGCAACACAATGTCTACCTTTGACGACATGGCCTGAAATTAGAACCACATGCAAGGCGTTGCAGCTTCACAAACGCTTCGAGCCAGCAACGGACAGGGAGCTCCAGAACTACTTTGAAGGTTGGCGTGTCAAGAATGCGGAGGGTGCATGATGCATGATGATAGGAAAATTCAAATTGGCACTAGGAGCCAGCAGTGCTGCAGGGATGTTATAGTGATGGTACCTCATGACGCCTAAACGCTACTACGACATCTTCAGCCACAAACTTTTGGCTCACACCTGTCTGCGAATGTCCAAGCTTCTTGCAGAGAATTCATTCACACAGGATACGCAAAAACAGCTTCTTCTAGTATAAGGATGTGTGGAGGATAGAAATGAGAAGTGGCCGAAAGTGGAACTTGCCAGCAACATGCGTCCAATGGCTGAAAGGTCGGGACAACCTGCAGCTGCGTGATGAAATCCTGATCGCCCAACTAGATGTGCTCACAAATACTTGGCGCTCACTTCCCCAGATCATCAAGGAGGATGGGGGAGAAAGTTGATGAATAGTTGGCATATGTTGGCATCACAGGCAGAATCGTATGCAATATTGAGAGGGATGAGAGGGTAATGGTTGGGCCGGTTGGGTGTGAGGTGTGATGATGCCCATGGATGCCCATGGATGCCCATGGTTTCTGGGAAATCGCCTCGTCTCCCCCAGAAAAAAGGACCCGCTTTGCCATCGGGCTGTGCGTCCTGGGCCGCGCAGGATGTTCCAGAGGTGCTGCGAAGCCTTTTCCGTCCTGAGGTAGAGATCGTTCTGATTCGTGAAGCCGTGAAGGCCAGGAGCCCCCATCATTGGAATCATGCGCCCAGACTATCCACGGACCAGCTGAGCCTTGGGAAAGGATAGATACATCGGTCCATGAATCATTCGGGAAACCTCAGTATGCACCTTGGGATTTGCTGAGCCGCATGACTTCATAGAATATGAATGCATCACAAGCATCATGAATGATATTCAATCTTCATAGATCAACGAAGATCAGCCTAGATTCCAAGTCTAAAATGCCCAAGATCCTCCCAGATCGTTTGTGCCAGGCGTTGGAAGAGAAGTGGAGAATAGCCCGAGGAAGCAACTCCAAAGACGAAGACCAAAATTTGAAGATGCCTGAGGAACTGGTTCGATTCTTCAAGTCACTCGCATTGGAAGCTGTCAAGTCAGCTCATTTCGTGTTATTTCGATTCAATGAAGAACATCCCAAATACCCTCTGGCAATTTGTTACATAGCTATTGAACATGGCCATTTATAGTGAGTTTTCCCATTGAAAATGGTGATTTTCCATAGTTATGTTAGTTTACCAGAGGGTAAGCGAAGCAGAAGCGTTGAACTGGAAACCTGCCCTTGTCATGGCTCCAGGTACATGCGCCCTGCCACTGATGAGTCCACTGGGCAACGGGAGCTCTCTATGGTGTGGATCATTAAAGCCTGGTCAGTGGAGAAGATGAGGCAGATCGTTGCCATGGAACATTTGCAAACATTGCGCACTGTGACATACGTGGCTGTGGTGTGGTGCGTAGGTCTTCAAAATTTCCAATCCCAAACGTGGCTGTGGTGTTTTGGCAAGGCAGAGAGAGGTGCAAAATGATGTGGCAGCAATAACTGGCATCTATGAAAATGCTGAAAGCTTCTGGGAGCATCGAGTCAAGAATGCTCATAAGCGAGCGGACACTTGCACTATTTGTATATGCAGTCCCACAGTCGATCCCTCTGTCCCCTCCGGACAGCGTATCCGAAGTGTTCTTTTGCGGGTCCTGCATTTCGCTCTGAAAATGCTCTTTCTAAAGAAATTTATTATAAGTTTATTAACTATTATTAACTTATTGAATGACCATGAGATTAATTGAGATTCTCAGAATTTCTCAGATGTCTGAGGAAGAGGCTCAAGAGTTGCTGGAGAGGGCAGTGCAAAAGGAGGTGATTCGTGTTGTGCTGTGCTCGTCCATCAGCGACCTGGAGAAGGTACAAGCGATGCTTTCAGAAAGTCTGATGCTCACGAAGGAAGAGGGCCAAATGGGTTTCTCTTTTTTTAGTGGTGGAACACCAGAAGAACTGGGAAATACTGGGAATGTCTCGTATTTCAGCAGATTTGTAGATGGCATGTTGACAGATGAACCCTACTTATGCAGTCGGACTGGCACTATCGATCTTCCTCTTCTCACAAGACGCTTGGGTTCGTGTGTGAATGCGCGCTAGTTGCAATTGATGTGTCCTGCTTTTCCAAATAATATGTCTTTTTCAGCACAAATCAAGCCCATCTCATTCCAAAGTGACAGGAGTATGCAAGCCGAATCATCAATTTCTGCCATGCCTTTTGACCAATGGCTTTAATCATCAGGATGAGATTTCCAATTCCAGCATTGCAAAGGGATGGAGCTTCTACTAAGCTTACATGGAGCGTCCTACATGTTCCCAGCTTCCCAGCAGGAGTTCTTTTTGAGGCATACTCAACCAAATGCTTTAGAGTGCACAGACCCTGGAGTTCGAAAAACATACGGGGGGAAAGAGGTCAAGAAGAGAACAACGAAGCCTCGAAGTATAAAGTATAAGACTAGCCACCAAAGAAGATTTGGAGAACAACTCAGATCTGAGCATCTCAGAGTAATTCCTGCTTGACATATTCCAGGACTGCAAGATAGGAGATTCCGAGAATGTTCCGAAGGGAAAGTGCTTGGTTTGGAGTCAGGCAGGGGCCGGGAGAGGAACAAACGGATGCAATTGTTACTTGTAGGAATATATAGAGTATTCCTCCCAGTTGCTAATTGATTTCTTCTTGTAGACAACATGGCAATGTACATACTGGACACACAAACATACACAATCATACTCATTATGTGTGCGCGCATACACATACATGTTACATATTTATGTAATATGATATCTGACAATATATTATATATAATATAAGAATACATGATAGCACAAATGACATAAGATATGTATACACATGCTAAATACATCTAAACCTGGACCTTCGATTGTTCCTTAAATTTATGCCTCCCCCCGATTTTGATACATTTCCTCTCACTTGGTACCTAGGGTCCTAGGGTCCTAAACTCTAAATCCAAGCCGAGGATTCAAATTCGAGCATTTTTTGGACATTTGCAGGCTGAACAATCAAACACAAGAAATTCGAGCGCTTTTTTGAATGCAAATTCGAGCGCAAATTATTCCACAAAACGAGTGCAAATATCCACAAACGAGCGCAAAAAAAATAGAAAGAGGGTCACTCTTCACGGGATCACATGGGTTGAGATCTTGATTCGAGCGTTTTTTTGAGTTTGAACTTTTTCTGGAATTTGTATGAAATTGTAACCAAAAAATATCGTGGCCAAAATTTAAGTATCAATTGAAAGTCCAGGAATACATATACATTTTGATCTACGCATCAAACTCCAAGCCAAGCTAGAACCGGCAACGGCTACTTTCAGCTGGGGCTCACAGGGCATCGTGCGGGAGAAGTTCAAGCCCTTCGAGAGCTCAAAAGGAGCGCCAGATTTGGCAAGGATCCGCAGGGAGCTTCCCAGTCTTTACAACGGTCCCTCAGACAAAGAAGGGGCGGTTCGGGTAAAATGTTTGATCCACAACGAACGCACAGCAAACTCGCACATACACACACGCACACATCATACACCCGATTTGTTTAGGCAGCAGCTGTATTGCAGCATGGTTTGCAGCAGATGGCGTGTGGCCAGTTTTACCACCCACCAGGTCTGGGGACAACTGACAACTAGCTGAAGATGCTGAAGCCTGACGGTCTAAATTGAATCCAGGCATTCCAGTGGTAACAGCAAGGTCAAGAGGCGTCCCAAACGTCCCAAGGCAAAGATGTTCGTTTGTTGTTCAGTGGCCTGGACTTTGACCGACAGCACGAAGAGTCGCAGCGAGCGCTGGATAGCCTGCAGAAGTACATTGCCATGGCAAAGACTGCAGGTGGACGCAGGGAAGCTAGGACACCATGGACACCATGGATTGAATTCCTAAGTGCATAGTGGCTGATAGTGGTAGTTGGAACAGAATGAAGTCGTAAAATTTGCCAAAGACAAAAAGGTCCAGCAGAGGGTAGCCGCTGCCTAGACTCAAGTGACAGGTGATTGTTAAGCAACTTAGGGACCATCAGGGGACCATCCATTGCATCGACAGACAGCAGTGACTAGGGGATCTTGGGAAAACATGTGAAAGTTGGTTGTTGATTTGGGTTGGCCAGCGCCCATTTGCAGTAACAATAATTCTGTTCATTGGGTGGGAAACAACCAACGCAAGGCTCTTGTGAGAACCTGAGAAGCTACGTGTGTTTCTAGGCCACCTGTTACTCTCACTCAACTGCAGGCGAAGCATTTCCAAGCATCAAGCAGATTGTGGACGACCTGTCGGATGCTGGGAAGATCTTTCGGTGCCTTTTTCCCTGTCTTTTGTTAGGGCGGCAACTTACTTTTCATGCTCGTAACCTGGATTTGCCACTGGTTTCGCGCGACTCAAATTCCTTGCGGTTCTTAAATCTCTTAAGTTAGACTCTTAAGCCTCCTGATTTCCTTGGGTGACTTGCTGCAACGATATCAAATCTGCATGGACTCTGAAAGCTGAGGATGTACTGCATAAGAGCCAGCTGTTCAAGAAAGACCAGGAAGCCAAGCGTCCCGTGGTTCGCATTACCCAACCTGTCGTGGCCAAATCATTCAGGCTGAGTGCAAGCAACCTGTCACTTTGTGACAATACTGATGATTTGCTCCTGAAAGATCTGAAAGCTTTGATTTGAATCCTCAGGTGATCACTCGTTTGCCGGTGACTTGTTGCAGCACGGTGTTGACTGGTTCGATTTCCGAGGCAAGCTGTTCCTCAAGGAACGGGAGCTGCAAGCGACCATGCAAGTGGCCGAACGGCGCTTGCAGCAGGTGGAGAAGGCGGACCTAGGATGATTTGGACAAATTTGGAGACAAATTTGGACAAATTTGGAGACAAACATTCCAATTTCAAAATATTCATTACAATTTCTTCGATTTCTTCGATTTCTGAAACATTTTGAAACATTTTTGAAACATTCATTTCATTCAGTGCACATGTTTTGGGTCCACATTGTCCACATGTTTGATGATTGTTGGAGATCCAAAGCATAGCACTGGGAATCTGAGTTGAAGCATGATGAGCTGAAGGATCTGCGAAATCAGAGCCCTTCACGCCTATCCAACAGATTCTAATTCTACTCTGTTTTAGACGGTAGTTTGTGACACCAACGGAAAAATCCTTGAACATCAATCTTCCCACAATGTAGTGCAGCAAGGTTGCTGTGTGAAACAAGGCTTCTGCTGTACGGACTGAGCAGAAGTAGGTTCCTGCTGGCCCCTGGGTGTGCACTTGGAAGGAGAAGCGAGAAATTGAAGAAAAGAACCGAAAGCTTCATGAAGAGAAGGAGGGAAAGAGTCGCCGCCACACCGTTGTTCAAACAGACAACGGCATCAACGGCTCAGCTGTGTTTCCTTGATAAACCTTAATCCTGGGCTTCACGGTTTCACCCTGTTGGGGAAGGATCGCTCTCAGTAGAAACCTCTGACAGCTGCAGGTTGGCCTGGAGTGATTTCATTTTAATGACCAAAATGACCAAAACTCTCATAAACTCTCGCGACGTTGGTCTCGCACCCACGCATTTGACAGTTTCTTTGAGGCTTTTGATGCGGATGCAACAGCCATGATCACATGAATCACATGGGATAAGAATTGTGTACAGTAGTGTTTCTGCTTTTCGGCCAAGCGAGGGAAAGCTTGAAGTGGACACAAAGAATGTCCGTGAAGAATTGGTATCTTGCCTTGGATGATGAACCCATTCTTGGGTTGACCCAGTTGACCCATGTTATGAGGTGGCTCGGGGAATCACGTTGGAGATAACGAGTGAACCACTCCTTTGAGGCAAAGGTGCATGTCGCGATTGTCGCGATGCACATGTGTCGCTATTTTCACATCACACATGAATGTAGATATGCCATTGCGAAGCCCGCAGGCGCTTGTTTCACGATGTATTGCTTCCTTTGACAAAGTTGGGAGCATCCCAGCCATTGCCCCAGCTGTAACTCCAAGGGCAAAGTGCTGGAATCCGTCGCTCTGGAGCATGCGAAGCTAAAGACCCGGGTGAAGGACGTGGTTTTGCTGGGGGAATAGGTCGCCTTGAGCAGAGCAGCAAAGGGTTGCCAGCTAAGCCTCATGCCACCTAAGCCTCATGCCACCTATGTTCGAATTCAAAAGCCTCAAAAAACTGCCCTCACAAAGCCGAATCAACGAGAGAGCCAGGAGCTGGAGACTGAAGAGAAGAAGCTCAAGGACAGCGGTGGCTAACTCGAACTCAGCTGGGCTCTGGGTGGATCTGGGCAGATCCTGGCAGGTCACAGAATTTTCTCCAAACAGGGTGCCACCAGTGCCACCAGTGCCACCAGTGCCACTGTTGCTATCTGTTGCTTGTGTCAAAGAAGAATTACAAGAGCTCTTCAGCTGCTCATCTTGGTATATCCAAAACATGAATCGAACACCATAGGGGCCTTTAATGGGCATTCCTTTTAAAAAGACGTGGGGATCATTAGATGATTTAGATATTTGAATATTTTATTGCCGACTTTCAGGAGATATATAATATGCGCGCAGCAAATTGTAGACATTGCAGAGATTTTTTTTGTCTTCCATGGTTAACCATTATGGGATTTTTAATGGTGATTAATGGTGATTAATGGTGGTTAATGATGGTTAATATATGGTCATTATCAAGCTGATGACAAGGCCTACTGTATCAGGCATGACTTCCGGATAAACAAACCCCGCTCATGTCAGATAAATGGCTTTTCCCAAATTTGACGCTTACTGTCTCAAAGCATTCGATTTCTGTAATTTCTGTAAAGCAGAATCCCAAAACCACTCTTCGCAAACTTTGAAATGTCTTGAGTGTTTGCAGATGCCTTTAGGATGCCAACGCGCATCTCTGGGCAAAGCAAAAGACCATGAAGGATGGGATGAGGGTCTTGAAACAAAACAGCATGTTGAGCCTGCACAGCACACCATTCCTGCCGAAACAATTTGCTCCTCATGAAGGTATCTAACTGAGTACCGACCCAAGATACACTCTTTCGATAAGTGTCACAGCTTCATGATAGTTTATCAATTTGTTAGCAAAGCATCACGGAGGACCTCAAGGTCACGTCATCACTACTTTTTCAGTGCTTGCTATTCTTTCTGATTGTCTTTCCTGGTTGCTGGCTAAAGGATGCTCTGCAGAAAGCAGCGGATTTTATGCGGGCTTGGGTTGCAACAGGCAACTTGGACTACGAAAAGTGATATTGTCATTGGATGTCATTGGAGTATCTTTAAGATTCTTTAAGTATGGGTCGTTCCAGTTGCTTGTCACCTGGATGATCCTGGATGTTTCAGTTGGCCCAGTTGGCCTACTTCAATCCACGATATGGGCGTTATTTGATGTATATAATTGGATCATGTGAAATGCACCTCTTCTTGGAAGTCAGTTCCTAACCATCACTGGACGACAGTGCATTGTGGCACCCATGCAGGTGCTCCAGACACCGACGTGGACTCCATCATCCAGCTGGTCACGGAGAGCTCAAAATAGGCTCGCCGTTGAATGTGACACCTGCCAAGCACAGGCCCAAAGATTGGCAGGTGCATTGTCAAAGTCTGTCAAAGTGAAAAGCAAGTTGAAAGTGGAAGAGGGACCACTACCTGACACCATCAAAAGGCGAGGAAAATACCTTGTTCGGGAATGTTGCAGAAACTTATTCATAGACAAGAATAGACACGAAGAGACAAGAATAGATGTATTGATATATTTCAATATATTGCATGTATCAGAAAAGAAGGTAAGCCCCTGTTTGTTAACTGACACTAACTACCACTGGACGGCAACAATGGCCAGCTCACCGAAGACCTCGAGACTTACGACTTGGTAATCTTGCAAAATCTTGCAAAGAACTCGATGTGTTGCATTGAGTTTCAGAGAGCCAGAAAAGAATCTTCGGATTCAAGGTATGAAGTATACAAAGTAAACCTTAGATTAACATTTGTTTCCCAAGACTGAGGCTCGACTCGTTTATCTCTTGCACTATGCTTTCAACTTGTGTGAGTTTTTGAATTCTTGTGCTGGAGACGGACCCTGTCGTACGTCTCTTGTGAGTTTTAATCTACTGCCAAATGGTGTCTCACACAGAAGCCCTCAATGTCAGCTTTTGAATCCACCGAAAAATGTGGGGCTGCTGCGATCCATTTGAATTCTATCAGATTCTATCATGAATCATAAGCTTCTCGCATTTTCACTGCTGTGATGGTACCCTTTCCGCTCTGGCAGGGACAAGACTGTTCAGCCTGAAGGGCAACTTAGTGGGCGAGACTTATAGAGTTGGAAAATCCATCTGACAGACAAAAAAAGACAAAACACAGCTAGGTGGTATCCAAGGCTTCTGGCATGGGTCTTCTAGAGTTGAATTCCCTGTTCCGAGTCGAGAACTTCACACTACATTCTGAGACATTCGTCACGGAAGGTTCACACCACATCAGACTGACTAAGCTGACATAAGCCGACTAAGCCGACTAAAAGCCGTCGCTTCAAATCTACCAGAGGCACAAAACCGACTGCAGGACAAAGCATTCTGCCATGGCGTTGCCATGATTTGTATGGCTTGGGGGATGGACCTAGCCGATGGGTCCGGACTCCAAAAAGTGCTGAGATTTTCGTTCCACGACTCCAAAACCTTGCAGTGAGGATGCAAAAAGATGCAAAAAGAAACTACGTATATGAAGTTACTATATGAAGTTACTATATGAAGCTACTATATGACATATATGATTCTGAAATTGTAATCCAATTTGTGAGTCTTTTTCAGAATCTGTTTTTCCGCTTTTTTGCTTTGTGGGAATGTATCGGGAAATGTGGATGTTCCCCAAATGTCTCCGAAGTAGCTCATAAGAAGGGAGTCTAGACATTGGAGGCAGGTTTAAGACCCATATTCATAGAGAATCCAATGATAATCCCGGTACTTGTTCATAGTTTTTCCACGCCTTTGAGCATATCTCGCAGGTAGACGCTACAGGACTTCACCCTCCTATGCGCCAGAAAGGAAGAGGCACACTGAGAAGAATACCAGAATCAGAAACAGAATGGAATGGGACTGTAGCAGCTGTAGCAAGCATGACGGACCGATGTCCTAGGCGTGGCAACTTGCAGTGAGGATGTGAGGATGGACTTGTTGTTTTCCGATCACCTGCATGATTCACATGATATGAAACGGCTGAAACGAGGTTAGCATAGAAATTCAGTGGCATTGCAAGGGCCTGGGCCAGTTTTGCAGCACGGAAGTTTCGTTCCTGTTTTTCAGCACGCCTCCTGCCGCCTGGACCATGCCTTCCAAAGGAGTTTGTAACCACAAATACTCACTTGTGAGTCACTTTTGTTGTTTGTTGACACAGTTCATGTCTACTTGCCAATGAGTTTTAAAGTGAGTCACTACACTTTCACTTGCTGTGGGTGAAGTAAGGCAAAACCTTTGTTGGGGGACTTTCAGATAACAAGATGCAAAAGACTTTGAAAGCTCAATGATCAGACCTGATGAAGATTGCTACCAATCTATTGGCCTGTGTATGTTTCTTTAGTTCGGACAGTTTTGGTACATTTCTCGCAATTGGCATTAGCCGAATGGCCTTGACCCGCCCGCGATTCCATGCGGCCTACTAAGCGGGAGCCCCTGCTCGCAAGGCAGATTGATTCTCACTAATTCTCAAGGGCTCATATGCCTTGGCATCATGTACATCTCATTTCTTCAGAGGGTTTTCAAGCACGTTGTAGCAAAGGATGGCGTCAGCTTTGTTATTTGGATCTCCTTGGCTGCATAGAAAGGACCCAGAAAAGATACGCGCTGCAGCCCTGTAAGTTCTGTGGCGGTTTTTGTGTGGAGGTGTGCCCCATCCTCCAAAGAGCATGGTGTCCTGAAGATTTTGGCTGTGGAGGTCGGGGGCTCCGTGGATCATGCTGGACACTTTACATAGACTGCACGTGATCAAACCTGTCAGGTCTATGATTTCCACACATCCAACGGTTTTGGCTCAGGGTCACCAGTATGTATGAAGCACTGTGAAGCGATATACTGAATATTGCTGGCTTTGTTTTTTCGGTTCGTCCGTGATGTTCCTGTGAAGGCAAAATTGGACCGGAGCGTCGAGAGAGCTTTTTTGGTGCGCCAACTGTTGGGGATGCCTCGCTGGGTTGAATCCTTCTCCAGTTTGCTCTGCCCTTGATGCCCTTGAAAAAATGTGAAAAAATGAGGTGTGATCACATAGTAACCATAGTACATATTCTGTGCATTGTGCGACCATTGTCAACTGGGCTGGAGGCTCCCCAAGTCCATTGCTTTCCCACTCCTGAAATCGGAATGTGGCAACATGGGATGACTTTCAATTGGTTTCAATTGGTTTCAATTGTAAATTCATTAAATTCTGGACCTGGGTGGTGACAACATCACCAAACATCATACAACATCCACCAACTGGTTGACGTCGTGGTAGCTCCGTGTGGCTCCGTGTGTTTTGAGGTGCTCACCTTGCAGCGCCCGCGCTTCCGCAGACTCTCCACTGGTTGGGCTCAGCTCGCGGACTCGGTTTCAGCCACATAATGCCAACTGGACTAGAAGCAAAAGGTGCACTGGATGGCATTCCGTATGTATGGAGAAAAATATCCAGAACGGATGTTTTAAAGCAAAAGGTGTTGCATGTGTGGTCTCCTTTGACCCCAATTTCCAATAATTCTGATCTATCCTGAAGAGTCTTGTGTTGCAGCTTTGTCTCAAGCTGGGCCGGACTTCGTGTGGCGTGCCTACTGGGGCAGTATAGGCGTGGCAAGAACTGTGATCCGCGGGAGGCTTGTTGCATGAGTTCACCTTGCTGGAAAGATCATACTGTGCACCCATTGTACATAGCTATTGAACATGGCCATAGAAATAGTTGATTTTCCCATTAACAGTGGTGATTTTCCATAGTTTTTTGTTAGTTTACCAGAGGGTACCAAAATTTACCAGTTTTTTTTTTGCGATCCCACACAGCGCGACACGAGGACGCCTCTCCAATGTATTTTTTCCAGGTTTGATCGTTGGCGGTGCAGGTTTCACAACAGGATTCGAGCCCAGCTCATTGAACTACAGCCATGGAGCACCTTGATTTGAGAAACGTGAGATTGACAGGTTGAGGGGTTGGGAACTGGAAGAGAAAGTCTATGCTTGAAGCCAAGTTGCTGTTCGCATTGTTTCCCAACTTTGGGAGCAGGGTGCAGGGAAGCGCGGGTGTTGGCATTCGGCAATGAGAGCTCGCACTGACAGAGCATGTTGATCCAGCTATTCGACAGTCATTTTTTGCATTTTGTGCTGAGTGAAAAAACCAAGGTTTTTGGCTACATTTGGTATGGCTGCGAAAAACATGTTCGACTACAATCGCAGCTTGGCACTCTCCAAGATTAGCGGGTTGGGCTTTGTTACTCAGAATTGGTGGGTGTCAAACCTTTGCTGTACGTGCTACACATTTGTGCAGTTTACGCAGCGCAGGGTCTTGGTTGCACAGGGTTTGGTTTCTCTTGGGCTCGATTGTTAGTAAATGTCTTAAGTTTCTTAAATGTCAATATATTTTTGCTGGCTGTATCAGCGAGGTGAAAACTTCCAGTTCGACCAAGAGCAGCGCCTAAGTCGAGAACTTCTTCGTCAGATTCTGCAGCTGAAGCGCTTCACGCTCTTTCGAGAGGAGCTGGGTTGTATTGGGTTGTACTTGGGTTGTGGGATGCTGGAAAAGGACCTGCAAAAATTGGGAATTGCATTGCACCGGGATGTCGAGGTTTCCCATCTCGAAATATCTGATCTCTGGGCAGATGTTTGCAACTTTGATGCTGTTTGTACCTTGCGCCAAGCACTGACTTGCCGGCATTTTGAACCGACAGGACATTAGAGATTTGGTGGAACTGACAGTGGGGAAAATGGAAATGTATCACTTGGTGGCAGCTCTGTTTATGGAATCCTCCATGGCACTGTGCCTTGGCGTCCAAGCCTCGCATCCAGGTGGTTTGGGGTTTCAAGCTGCACGCACACCTTATAACAGAAGCTCGTGAGATTGACTGTATTGAGTATCTGGAAATCATGTAGACTCTTGCTAAGTGCAAAAAAAGATGCAGCACGCACTTACAACATTTTAGTGCAGAGAGGTGTATAAGTCATAAAACTTACTATCAAGATGAACACCATTTCGTTCAAAGAACGAAGCGGGCCATGTAGTCATGTGTGAGTCATGTGGTAGGTACTTTGAAGGACGAATCCATCACGTGGCCCCACCTTTCATTTTATCTTTGTTGTACATTTCCATTGCGAGTGCCTTCATGCAGCTGGGCGGCAAGGTGTTCGCAGGGCTAGGTTGGTATAGCATGGTGTAGCTGAAGTCGTCCCACAGGCGGGAAAGGTGATTGTTCCATATTGTTCCATATTGTTCCATATTGTTCCAGTGTTCAGGTGTCCAGGTGTGCAATGAATCTGAAGCCAGTGTGGGAGACCCAACTAGGAGCCTGGTTGACGTCATAGCGACCCGGTGCGCACAAGCCAAGCAGGTACCATGTCTTACCCTCCATGGGATCAGATGGGATCAGGTATTTGCTGCTGGCAGTGTGGCTGAGTATGCACGCCTCTATCTGTTCGCACAGCTTCGGGGTGCGATTGCTCACCAGATTCGCCTCTTGCTTACTCCATCAGAGGCAGCGTTCAGTCAGGGTGAGCTGGGTGAGGCAGCTAATTCTGGAAAACCCAGAGATGACAATTCAAGAAGCATGCCAAACATTCCCAATATTTGGTTCATGCTGCCAAAAAAGGGTGGTGATTGGATTCCAAGGTTCGTCTCCCAGTCCCTGGTATGCAGCAGATGGGTGTGCTGAATGCTCGGCTGGCGGACTTTGAACGTCAAGGTTTGGGAGTTTGGGTGGCTGTGACATGTTTTGATTATATAATTATGTCCGTGTATACTGAGTATATACTGTATACATATATATATATAGTTATATAATTATGTAATTATATATATATTATAGAGTATATGTATATAGAGGCATAGATACACACGTATACAATTGATATATACATCAACAACAATTTGTCTCGGGGCCTCCTGGATTCAGCTATCGCTTTTGGTAGCTATCACGAAACCTTGTAACGGAATGCTTATGGAGGACTTTGCAGAGTTAACATCATCAGTCCATGATTTAGATCGCAGACAGACGAGCCTGCTTCCTGTTCCCGACGCACTGAGCCATCATTTCACCATCGCCAATCTGGCTGAAACCTGTTGGGGCAGAGTTTTGCAGAATATTGTTTCAGAGAGGTTCTTTTCTTTGCCTTTCAGAGAGGCAAGAGGCCAGGTGACCCACCACAACCAAAACCTGCCTGCTGTCCGCCCCACGGTACAGGTGTGCAGGGCATGCTAAGGGTGCCAGTGATAGGTGGAAGGCAAGACTGGATGCAACGACAGCCTTTGCAGGGTGTGCCAGAGGACTGATAAGGTGGTTGGGTTTGCGTTCCACATAAAAAAAATCGCAGAGGATGGTTTGCACTGTAGAATCTGTAGAAGTCGTCAAGATATGGAACAGGAAAATAACCGAACATTTCAAAATCTGTTGAAATTCCGATGGGATTATGAACCCCGGCAGCTGCTGTCAAGTGTGTCTCTTTCTTTGGACCGGGTGAGGACCAGCAGAATCCAGACCTGTTGGGAGAAGGCTTGGTCCAAGACCGTTGCAGGATCAACGACATGGGAAAAAAGAGAACAAAATAGGTTTCACACTGGTTTCACATTGGTTCATGTGTCATACATGTATTGGTCGTATATGTGTGTGCATATTTCATGCCATGGGCCGGTCCTTCCAAGGCATCAAGGCTTGGAACAAGGAAGACAACATCATGGGATCAGCGCAGGTGCCAAGTGGCCGGGGCGTCGGAAAGTTTGGAGGCAGTTGGTTTGGCCCTGGCGGTGTGATTAGAGTACGATTTACAGACCCTGCACTGACATTTTGGCCATTTTGACATTACATACATTTACCATCATTTGCAACTTTCAGACACCACTATTGTACCAAACACCGCTCGTTTTCTTGCTGGAGTAAGCCATAACTCTCTTCTCTTCCCGCTTTGAAGGGGGCACTGAACAAGCACGTGGACCTTTTCCGAAGATTGCAGTGCAAGTGGCAGTGCTTCGATGCCTATGCACGCGTTTGCATGGCCCTGGGAGCAAATCAGCTTCTTGTCACAAAAAATCACAGTGCTGTGAACTGACATCCTGTTCTAATGAAGGGATGTCATGACTCCAACATTACTCCAAGTGCTGTGAACTGGTTCCCAAGCAAAACGGTGACAAAAAAGCAAGGCTTTATTGAACAGCACTGCCTTTCTCAGCTGTTTGGAGTCCTACCTATGTCGAGAGTAGTTTTCTTGCAGATCTATCCTCAGGGCAGCCCAGATGCATTCTTTATGACCGGGTAAGGCTAGTTCTTGGTCTGCAGTACTACCTTGTGATCACCACCCTGATCCAGTACAGGTGCGACAAAATGGCAGGCTGTGCTATTTTTGTCAACTTAGCGGACTGGAAGTCGCTGACCCTGCGCTGTTTTAGGTCATGTATTGCAGCTTCAATGCATTTCTTTTGAGGTCTTTTGGGGTGATATTTATGTTATAGAATGTTATAGACAGAGAAAGTTTGTCAACACGGATTTCACATAGTTCGCAGCCCTTGTGACTTTTCGCAATTCTTCTCCAGTTGCTTTGGCCGGACGATGATATCCCTTCGCGGCCAAGGTGTCCCAGCGTGTGCTTAACGCTCCTTGCGGGGTTTTGTAGCGGTGGTCTTGCCTTAGCTTACTTGGACCTTGCGGGCTTAGGCCGCTTGACTGCTTGAAAATTGGGAAGCGAATTCCCCAGATCTTAGGAGGTTGAGAGTGCAAGGAATGGATCTAGATGGTAGCTGTAGTCAATGGACAAGCAACAGCATCGTTCCCGCTGTGAAACTGTTCATTGGTGGTACAAGAATGAGGTTGATGTTCAATCTGTCTAGAACCCGTGATGACGAGTATGCCAGTTGAATTGAATCTTCGAGACATCCAGTGGACTACACAGACTCCTAACCAAGAGACCCATCTCCATGCAGCCAGTGCTGCCAGGTGGAAGAAAAATCTGCCTGCTACAGCTCATGGGGTCTATTCCGGTTTGGATAGCTGCTATCAGCATTGCCTCTTGATTGAATGACTTACATCATTGATCATGATCTTTACACATGTTAAAACAGATTTCTAAGCACTTCAACCATTTAAGCTGTAGCTAACTACTTGACGCGTAGAGACGACTGGGCTTTGGGACTTTTAGTCCAGCACATCGTCAGCGTTTTGACGTTTTTTCCATGTCGCAGATAGCCTCTGGTTATGACTAACAGTTCGCCATGGGTTGTTGATGGCCCTAATCGAAATAGATGGTTTACCTATTAATAGCATGGTGATTTTTCCATGGCGAACTGTTAAATAACCAGATGGTATATCAAGATGCATGAGGTGATGCTGCTTAGGAACGGATCTGATAATCCTGTGCCAGGTCAGTCGTGCAGTCGTTGTCCAATATGTGGTATGCAAATTGGAATCCAACCTCAGAAGAGATGGAATGTAACAAGATAATATTGGCACCCCAAACCCTAAACCATCAATTTTGTGCTTTTCATGATTGGGTTTCTGATGATTTTTGATGATTTTTGATGATTTTTGATGATTTCGGCATGTTTAAACCTTTAAACGGCACATATTGATGATGAATCTCTCTGCCGTTTGTCCCAGCCGATTTTGACCGACAAGTTTCTGAACCGAGATTGCGGCGAAGAAGTCCGACGAGGGAATTCCGCTGGTTGACAATGCATACAGGGCAACTTTGGTTTGAAAAGCCAAGCTGATAACTGGGTATGGGTCAAAATTAGGTACCCCAATAATTGGATGGTCAATACTAAACTAGACAACTGATAACAAAACTTTTTTTTTTCTAATTTGACAAGTGCTTTGAAGAGTGTTGAAGGCGCTGGGTTAATCTTCTGGTTTTTTTAACCTAGAGAAGGTAGAGGTGAATGGAAATACTGGGCCCCCTCGTCCTGGGGACATGCGACATGGCATCTCCTTTGACCCTGAGTCCCAGGAAGCGTCCAGGACTGATGGAGACTGATGGAGACCCTTAGAGGACGGTTGAACCATGTTGTTTCCATCGGCGCCAAGGTGAGTCCTGTGGCCTTCTTTCTGAACATTCTGTGGTTTGAAGGGTTGCTGTGGGTGGCCTGGCCCAGTGAAGATGAGGCGGACCTGCGGGGAATTTGTGGACGTTTAGTTTCCACTCAAGACGCATAAGACGCATGGGTCTTGCATGGTCTTGCGAAGTTTGAGATGGTCTTGACTGGACCCACCATTCTGCGTGGCCAGATACGATCTGGCATTTTTCTGAAGGATTTGAGAGGAGTGGTCTCTATGTTGACATTTGTAAACATCCTGAAACTCGCGAACTTGCTCCATGATTCAGTGCCGGCAGGCCACCCTGCCAAGACTGTTCCGGTCTGTCATCTTCCTGGATGTGTTTGAGGCATGCGTGAAAACCTGGCAGATCTTATGCAGACTCGTAGTGTGCATTACCGATCCCAATCTTCTGATTGCACGCACGTATAAATGCTTGCCATTTTATGTTTCATGAGCATGTAAACTAGCAGGTCCAGTGCACCTCCAGATGCACAACACACACACACAAGCCTAATGCATATACTATGCATATACTATTTGACACCAATCCTTTCTCTCATAGACCTTGATCTTGAAGAAACATAACATCTGCCAGTATCTGCAATATCTGAAACTCACGAGCTTGGCAGGATGTTGGCATGGACGAAGATGGGGAGGTGGACTCCAAACAACTTCGCCGTCAGGTGCGTTAAGATTGCAATGTGTCATGGATTCATGATGGTTTAAGTTGCAATGTGCATGTTTATCTCAAAGTTCATTGTATATATTCCTTTGGGCAAGCATTGAAAGTCATGACTTTTGCTCCTTGCACTTTGGTTTGTTGCTTCGATTTTCACTCACAAGAGACTCTTTGCGGCATACTGTCAAAGGCTCTCTTGAAAAAAGATGCAGTGGACGAAGTCACCCGCACCAGGGAACAGTGGTGAACATGCAACCAGCTGCGCCGTTGGAGAAGGAAGATGTGAAAAGTGCGGACAAGGCTAGATGAGTTGCCTCTCCCAATATCCTTTTCTTTTCTTTTGACTTTTGACTAATCATTTTGCTGCTGATCGAAACCGCTTCTCAAAGCATTCAATAGGCACTGCAGGTACCTGTAGGTCCGCTCTGGATCTTCTGCCCCTTGAGGCGCTGTTCTTGGCGCATGCGGCACTGCGGCGCTGGGAGGCGACAGCGGTGGCTCAGATGCCGGGGTGTACTGAGCCTCGGCACTAAGCTTGTCCAATTGAATTTGTTGTTGAATGAAGTCTTGATGAAAGGTGTGTTCCACTGAAAGTTTGAGTCGTTTTGGAGGAGTCTCGGATACTGAGTGAAGGATACCACCACTCAGAATCAGGCTTGGACTCAATCTGAGGATCAGATGAAGTCAGACCTGGCGCAATACAGGCATCGCAACTGGAGATCCGCCAATGGTAATGGAAACAATGTGGTTGCGAGAGTCAAGATGTTCGGTCAAAAGCTTTGGCCGGGTCAATCCTCTCGACTCTTGAGAATCCCAGGCAATGATTAATAATGATTAATACATGTAGATGACATTGGGTGACACCTTGATTGGTCTTGTTTGCACCAGAAGGTTGCGCATTTCATCCCAGAAACCTGGAGGCACAGATACGTCCTCACACGCGGGACCTTCCTGGGAGAGATGTCGAAGCGTTTCAAGGTGCGATGTCTGGAGGAATGCTAGGACGATTAGATATATGATATATGTTTAAATGAGTTAAAATGGTTATATAATCCTCTATAAATGGTCCATTTTCCATAGCTATGTTAAATTACCAGAGGGTTTAGATATGATTCGGATGAGAAGGTGGATCATGTTGAACCGCTGGTGGTCAAGATGGCCCCTTGCCGAGCCTTGCCGGTCGCTGGGTGTCGAAGGCTGGTGCAGTTCTGCAAGAAGACCAACGGCCATGGGAAGACCTGGATGAGGATGAGAAGGACAGAAATCATCTGGAGAGGTTTTTCAGAAATCCAGAAATCATCATTCTCATGAAAAATGGCCTTACTATTGGGGGGTATAGTCACTTTTTGGTCTCCCCCCAATAGGTCTCCATCACTGGCCCCTTAGGTGAAAGGTACATCCCAGCAAACCCAGGAAGATGATCCTTTTGGAGGATCCCTGCTCGGGCCGTGGCGAGCCCAAACGAGAGACAAGTGTCCAAAAATTGTCCGCACGACTGGTATGATATGTATACCATTGTATAGCTATAAATTGAATTATACCATGGAATTTGTGATGGAATTTATGATGTATACATATGTATACATTGATTCAAATATATTAAAATCATTAAACAGATTGTCATCGATATCATTGACACCCATTTTTCGCATCCGCATCTAGATCATCCCGCATCTACATTTCCAGAGACTTCAAAAACCATGCAACTCTTTGGGTGTTTGAGATATATTACATTTCCGAGTTTGCCGGTGAGCTTCCCTGTCAGATATTGTGAGAGTGGAACAAACAAAAAAAAACTGAACGATGGTGGCATTGTTTCACTGAGAAGTGTTTTCTGACGTCACTTGCTGGCTCTTGGGCTCCAAGGAATCCTTCACACAAGGTTAGTTATATCAATTATATATATAATATAATATATATATATATTATAACAAGTGTCTCATTCTCTATGGGCTGAGAACAGGGTGAAAAAGAACATATTTTTTTTGAACATGGGGATTCAAAAATCAACAGCTTTTTGGGAGGGGCAGCCAGGCGACCCAGGTGACCCTTAAGCGAGCTTTGTGTCGTGTCTTGCAGTGAACCAGAGGAACCAGTTGGATCATGGATTTTCCAAACTTTGATTAATATACCCATTATCCATAGGGACTAATACATACTATTAATGTTTAATATACCCATTATAAACTGCAGAACTCAGCAAAATTTTAACGTTCTGAAATGATTTGTCCGAATCCCAAAAACCGACCACTTGACAACCATACAACATCATACAACCATACAACCACAATGTCCCTTTCCAGTTCCAAAACACATGAGATCCATTTGCAGTCCTGAACCTTGTTCAGTTGTTGTGGCTGAGGTTCACTAGCCATGGGCGAACTGTGGCTTGTCTGAGCGAAGACGCTGTGGAAGAAGTTTGGTTCAAGCACCCATCATTCCTGTAGGATTCCTGTAGGAGGTGGTTGGACCGGTCGGTGGTTGGTGTTCCAAACTCTGGTCAGCAAGTTGTAAATTTGATGATCCCAAGCGACTTTTGTGAAAACCAGAAGTCACTCAGCCGGGGTACCCCTTTTGTGCCAAGGTATACTACAACCTGGAGGCCCTGGCGCTTTGTTGGACTTTGTTGGACATGCACAGTATGTGACCTCAACTTCTTCAACTAAGACTCGATGAATTCTGTGACCTCAAGTAATTGAAGTAGTGGAGCAAGGCCCGGGGACCAATCCACCAATGGGAGCCCTAGACTGCCAATCATCCGAAATCCAACAGATTGCATGACACTATCCGTGTTCTGAATTATTCTGATTAACCATCCTGATGAACCTTTTGCAAAAATCGCAACCCTGCTAGGCTGGAGAGACCGAGGAGACCCGGTTGTTACGTTCATTCTAGCGGTATTGGACTTGGCAAAAGTTTTGTCCACGCCCCCATGGGCTCAAGAATCTTGACAGCTGCGAAGGGGTGCAACAAGTGTCCCAGCTTTGGTCACCATGTCACGAACATGAATCGAAGGAGGGCTCCCATTCCAACTTAGAGATCCTGACTTTGGACGAAGTGCAGTCTATGGTGGATTCAGCCGAGTCAAAGGTACGACGGCTGTTAGGACAGAGCGGGCCTTGCACGGCACGGGGAAGGGTGCAAAACTTTGTATCCAGTTACTATCAGTGAAGAACCAGAAAAGGAACTCATGTATCTCATGTTCCCATTGCTAGTTTACTCAGTTTATTCAAAAGTTTATTCTCAGTTTGTTGAAGCAAGACTTCAAGACTTCCAGCAAGACAGTGATGTCCTTCAGCAGGAAGACATGTTGGATCCCAAAGCTCGAGCGAGACCGACTCGGATTCCAGCGATGGACCCCAACGAGGGAGGAGCCTCTGTGCCGCACCAATAGAATATGAACGACCAGCCCAGACTTGGTCAACTTAAAGGCGTAGGCTCTGTGGACAATCCATAAATATCCATGGATGTGTTCCAAGTATCCATGAATATCCATGAACACCAAGTGCCATATCCATAAATATCCATGAATATGAAAAGTAACTTGGTATGGCACTTTTGCCAAGGCATGTGTTCCGAGGGGTGATCCTGGCCCAGGTTTTATTGCTGGAAACACGGGAGGAAAGTGGTTGCCAACTGGAGAGCATCACATCCAGACACCAGGGCTGCATTGTCCGAAGTGGAAGGGGAGAAGTGGAAGCTGTTTGGGATATTCCACGGTGTTGACTTTGAAATACTGTACTTGTTCTATGCCTGAAAACATCATTCGTACTATCTAAGCGTGCCTATGAGGCACGTTTGAGAAAGGTGAAGTAGAGATGTAGTTGTCTTTTCGTGGTAGCATTCAATGGATCTCCCCCACTGTCACATCCAGAAGACTGTTGGTGTCAAGAGTGCATGCGCGTAGTGTGATTGGAAGAGATCTGTTCTCAAATGTTCTCCAAAATTTAATGAAACGGCCTTTCTAAGGAGATTGCCGTGGAAGGTGCTGTACTACAACACTCGGTCCCTTCAGGTGAAACATTTCAGAAACCGGTGGGTCCTCTGAGTCCACAATTTTTTTTGGATGGGATGACTGGTGCAGGTGGCGTGGCTCATCATGTTTGTCATCAACTTGATGGAGCAGTGCGGCATGTTCCTGATTAACGTCCAGGTGGAACTGAGAGTGAGCTGGGAACCAGACCTCAAAAAAAATCGAGGCTTTGAGCGAAAACCCTCAGAACTGAAAGTTTGCGTTTGGGAGGACATGGGCTTCATTCTTTTGGAGGTTGTACTTGACTGGACTTCATACATTCTGGGAGTTTCAGTAAGGCATCACTCAATTGGTTCGGTAAGGCCATTGAGAATAATTCTTCCTTTGTTTGCTCAGTTCAGCAGAGCAGCAGTCGTCTTATCATGGTCACATGTTTCCTTCCACGCTGCCCGGACCCGCCAGACCATGGACATGAAGCAACTTGGATGCAGCAGATGAGTGGAGGGCGCTTCGATGGTGCGACAGCTATGCCTGGGCATATCTATTTGCTGTAACTGCTTGTGATTACTATGACCAGAGATATCTATCCCAGAGAGTCTGAGTTGGCATCTCACCAAAAGCCGCAGTGAAGCTTAAGAGGAAGGCCCCTTTCAAGGCTGAGATGGTAAGGTTCAGTGGCCCTCCCATAGATCCCAACATCTGCCGCAATTTGGTTTTTGCTCAGAGAATGTCCCACTGCTGAGGGAGATTGAAGAGCATCAGGAGGAGGAAGACATCCGAGAGGTCGGCTGTGGAAAGCCGATAATCAGCACTGGGAGAGTTCGAATTTGATGGCTGGCTACAACTATGACCGTGAGATGCAGACACCAAAGTCTTGCACAGTTGAATGAAGATAATGAAGTAGAGTGGACTCATGTGTTTCTAGCCAATGCAAAGACTTGATGGTAGATGAAACAGACCACTTCCTTGTACAAGCAAGTGCTGTGAATAGATTTCAAGAGACGGTTCTTTTTTCGTAGTTCGCCACGAGCGGGTCCACGCAGAAAACCTGTCCAATTGCACAAGTGGGCTGTTCCACTCAATCTTTAAACACCCCTGATGCAAGTATTTTTGAGTTTGCTGCGCTCGCGACGTCGTGCTACGCCTCATGTGTTTGCTGCAGTGTTGACAGGGTGGGTTGGCATAGAGAAATAAGGATGTGTAGACACTCGTGCCATCGTAAATGCTTATGCAGTTGAGTTGTCTTGCAGATGGTGGGGTGTGGTCTGAGTCCTGCGATCTGTTTGTGTACTTTGACAAATTTGATCTGCAGCTTGATATCATGGCACAGATGCATTGGGGTGATTTTCTGCTGCCTGCTACTGTCTCCGTTCATGACAAATTCCACTGCCAGCATTTCGGAAGTCACAGCTAGCAGCTAGTCGCTTCTGGCACGCTTCTGACCTAGACCTTCTGCAGCTCAGAAGGAATCACCACTCGATCCAAACCAAGCAGCCCTGGCCGGCCTGGGCCACCGCTGGCCACAAGATTCCCACCAGGTGATTAACTCGGAAATAGAGCACGGCGAGGCCATTGAAGTGGGGGGGCCTAGTTGCCACGAACGGCCATCGCAATGTTTTACCACCGGTGCAATGGGAGAGTAGGTGCATTTGCAACGATAGTCGTTATCACCCCCTGGCGGTTGCGGACGACCCAATATCTGACATAGAGTTGGGAACAAGGAAGTGGGCGCACTTCAAAGTGCTGGCAAGCTTCACAAATTCTATGACTTTGCAATGAGAATTACTGATAATTGATCACCTTCATATATCTTCATCATCTTCACTCACCTTGACTCACTTTCTGCATCCTCAGGGGCCACCGGATCATCATCGCCGATTGTTCAGCATCGGTGCCTGGTCTTCACCGTCCTGGAGCTTCCAGAGGCTCCGGTTGGAACCCGTTCTCCCCTTCTTCCGTTCTCTGTGTAGCCTGGAATAATTTCTGGAATGAAAGTAATTGAAACCCGTTGGAATCCGTTGTAACATTATAAGATGTTGTAACCTATGATAACCTATGGCTTCCACCGGCTTAGAGGCTGCAACATTTTTTGAAGCCTCGCACATGAATGAGAACCGTTTCAAGATTTAAACAGGTGGTGCTCTCTCTCTCTCTCTATGTCCGGATACCCCGAAAAAAAAAGGATCATGGGTGATGCCACCCCAAAAGACGGCGCCGTTTAGGTGGCCAATTCAATGGCCGCAGCCGGCAATCTTCAAGGCTGAAGCAATGCACTGCAGGCAGGTTTGCAACATTTTGCAACATTTGGTGGTGCAATAACCATCTTCAAACATATGAAAGTCAATGGGAAGGATTATCCCATATATTATGGATTTGCAACATTGCAACATTGCAACTATTGTCTTGCAATCCTCGCTCGATATCTTATTTTTTGAATCATTCAACGTAAACCCATGAGGTCGGGCACATCGCTGCCGCTTCTTAGCACGTCGTACAAATTGTTTAAGGCACGGCGGACCGCTAAGCATGAACCTGGAAAGCTGCAAGTCGAGACTGACATGGAGAGTCAGATTCCTGGTCTTGGCGTTCACTGTAAACATTTTGACAGCATAGTGAAAAGAGGAGAGGCCTTTCTTTTATTGCAGTTTTCGAGCGCTTTCTTCATCCTTCGAGCACTGCGAGCAGGTAGTGCGCAACGCAACCCTGTCTAAACAACGGCTAGAATTGGAGGAGCGCTTCCCCGGGCCTGCCGGGGGCTACTTCGGGTTGGGCGAATGGGAACAGTGAAAGTCACACAACATCGCATCATGTTTTATTCAACCTTTTTCATCCTTTTTCAACCTTCTTCAATCTGGTATCCCGACTGCAATCCCACAAGCGCATGGAATCTCTTGGAGAGCACGTTTTCTGATCATCATCAGGGTCCTAACGGATCTAACAGTGCGGAGGGTCGACATCGGCACGACTTCAGGAGTTGAATGCAAAGTCCTTCCCTGCCTCCTCTGTGATGATCTGTGATTCAGAGGCCCATGTATTGGTATATCCAAGGTTCGATCCACATCCAAATTTGGTGCCCTGAGATCTGAAATCTAAGCAGTGCAAACAAATTTCCAGGCGTTTACAACACAATCATATATAATTATATATATATAGATAGATAGTTATGGATCAAAACCCTGGTACCCGCATGGTCCCCGAAAATAGCAGCTAGCATAAAATAGCTGGTTTTTATGGATGGTGATTTCCTATATGGTAAATTCACGTTTTGACCCATACCCATATATATATAATATAATATAATATAATATATAATATAATATAATATAATGTAATGTAATGTAATGTGATGTGATGTAATGTAATGTAATGTATGTATGTATGTAATGTATGTAATGTATGTAATGTATGTAATGTATGTAATGTATGTAATGTATGTAATGTATGTAATGTATGTAATGTATGTAATGTAAGTAATGTATGTAATGTATGTAATGTATGTAATGTATGTAATGTTGTATGTATGTATGTATGTATGTATGTATGTATGTATGTATGTATGTATGTATGTATGTATGTATGTATGTATGTATGTATGTATGTATGTATGTATGATGTATGTATGTATGTATGTATGTATGTATGTATGTATGTATGTATGTATGTATGTATGTATGTATGTATGTATGTATGTATGTATGTATATGTATGTTATGTATGTTATGTATGTTATGTATGTTATGTATGTTATGTATGTTATGTATGTTATGTATGTTATGTATGTTATGTATGTTATGTATGTTATGTATATTATGTATGTTATGTATGTTATGTATGTTATGTATGTTATGTATGTTATGTATGTATGTATTGTTATGCATGTTATGCATGTTACGCATGTTACGCATGTTATGCATATTATGGATGTTATGCATGTTATGGGTGTTATGGATGTTATGCATGTTATGGATGTTATGGATGTTATGCATGTTATGCATGTTAGTATGTATGTATGTATGTATGTATGTATGTATGTATGTATGTATGTATGTATGTATGTATGTATGTATGTATGTATGTATGTATGTATGTATGTATGTATGTATGTATGTATGTATGTATGTATGTATGTATGTATGTAATACATATATATATATATATATGTAATATAGTCATGTATATATATATACATGTAGTATGTATGTATGTATGTATGTATGTATGTATGTATGTATGTATGTATGTATGTATGTATGTATGTATGTATGTATGTATGTATGTATGTATGTATGTATGTATGTATGTGTGTATGTGTGTGTGTGTATATGTATGTATGTATGTATGTATGTATGTATGTATGTATACAGTATATGTATATACATTATATATATATAAGCAAAATAAAGCAGGTCAAACAACTACTTGGCCAACCCGAATTAGATCGCTCTTTTGATTTGCCGAATCAACTTTGGACAATTCCTGTATGCGAAAGAAACGACACAGGTCAAGACGACTTACTGTCTGAAAGCAAAGCTCCTGATCATGCGAATTCGGCCATGGGTCAACTCATTTGCTCCTCGAAACAACGACTTGCATTCAATTGCGAGTTCTTGCTTGCAAGAGTCCCAATTTTGAACCAGACCCATATGAACAGAGAATGCTTGACAGGCCAAGGAGGAGTGCCTGCAAGCCGCGTTGACGACGCAGGGCTTACGCCTCTGGAGCTCTGAAGTGGACACCACTGTGCAGCTTCTCGGCGCCAGAGTACGGGAGAGCGCACGTGTTGGGACACGCGTTGAGCTGAGTTGATGTAGACAGTGTCTCAGTAGATGATAGAAAACTCCAGTAGGTGTTATAGATGAGAAATGATACAGTGTGTACATATCATATCATATGTTTTCTGATGTTTTCTGTATTTACGTATATGATGCAAATATAATTAAATATATACCATTAGATATAGAGAGATGGTGACTGTCGTAAATTAGATGTTTTGATGCATTCAACGTTTTCCGCATCTTTGGTCCTTAGACAACTTTGGTTCCATGATGAAACACTAAGCACTGGGAAGATTCCATGCTACAATAATATGATGAGCCCTTTGCCAAAACATGGACGGAGATCCTAATCTCAGGATCACGGGCAAGACTTGGCGGCGAGTCGCTGGTGTGCAGGCCAGCTCAGCGCTGGTCCAGATGTTTGACCTTTCAACTGGTTGTGGAAATTCTTGTACACTGCTGCCATTTGCTGGCCTATACTGCTGCTATCTGCTGCCTGGCACTGCCTGGCACAGGCCCCCTGTGAGTCCCTGGAGCCGTTGCTGCGCGCCTCACCAGTGGGAAGGTCATGGACTGGTAGGCGAGCTATGGGGTCTGCCATCCAGGGTGCTGGTACGAAGAGTCTGGTCGCAAGACTTGATCCGGCAAACTGTCAACCGGACAATGTTTGGTGAACTTGTTTGGAAAGTTTCATTTTCTGCCCATTGCCATTGTGCGATTGGTGCTGAAGTTTGATTCCCATGGTGCCAACATGCTTCCGCTCGAGGTGTCTTTTGCTGGCTGGCTGGGATGGCTCACGCCTCCCCGTGGCTGTGTTGCCATGGCCCTCCGCTGGGGCTACCGTGCCTGCAACTGCACATTGGGATGTATCAAAACCAATCTTGCTGTATTTGGGGGGATGAACATCCATTTACTAGTTATTTGGGGTTCACTAGGGTACCAAGGTTTTGACTCATACCCACATAGTGGGGAGGTTGCCACCTGCACAAGACACCGCAGTCATCCCCAGGATCACAGACCGTGTCAGCTGTCATTGAGCATCGCAGCTGAGGTGTCTCCTATTGTCGATGCGCCCCTGACACTTCCTGGAAGACAGGTCGGCACTGGGAAGCACGGGTGCTGGTACTGCCACTTTTGTTTGGCCAGTTTCTGGTTGATTTTTCCGGTTCACTATGTTCACTCGGCGGGCAAAGAGCGTTCAGAACAGGTGCGACCCCGTGGAGCACGCGATGCACAGAGCCCATCCACTGCGACATGTGCAGCGGAAGGGTCCACAGTGCAGGCCAGGCGTGGGTTTTGGCCATAGGCAGATCAAGTGGCCCCAAAGAGTCTCGTCGGAGAGGCAGCAAGCTTAAGAAATCTGCTGGACTTCAACCAGCCTAAGCGGTTTGATTGTCATTGACTCATTGAGCGTCTAAGTCTAAGGATGTCCAAGGTCTAGTTTGACTAAGTGGAGATGCCTTTCCTCAACGGCCCACTTTCACAATCTTTGATGTGGCATCCGCAAAATTCGCGACAAACTGCAGGACTTCTCTCAACACTGCAGTAGCTGATACATGCTGATACCATTCCATATAGTCAATGACAATATGGCATCCATTTGGCTTCTTGGCAGCATTGCCAAGTGTAGGTTGCACGGACTAACGTGAGGTATTTCTCTCCTGTTTGGGCAGTCCCTATGTTGTACTGACTTGTAATGACAGAGCGCTGGCAGGTCAAGTCGCTCTCACTCGAAGCATCTGTCCGGAACCCAGTGAGACAACATTCCACGTGCCGCCAAGCTGTCATGATCTAAGACTGGAAAGAAATACCTGCAGATTGGCCTCGACCCAACGTGCAACTTGTGTCCAAGGCGCTGCGACTCTGGGCCCTCCAGGGACAAGATCTCTGGGGTTGGGATCTACTCCATGGCAGGCTGGGGGTGGTCTGAGATTTAGATAGATTAAGTGGGTTTTTATATACTTCACTGTCTATAATAATGTATAATATATATATGATTATATGATATTATATATACATATATGTACACCGGTAGTAGTGGATTTCAATGGTAGCAAGAATCGAATAAGATTGCCAACAGACAATGAACGATGGTGTGTCAACTCCTCTCTCTTAGATCTTTCGCGAGATCCTCCCTGTCCATCACATGTGATCAGAGAGTTCTTCACTGGTCCACCGCAGCTGCAGGGTGCTAGGCCGCTGGACGCTTCCAGATTTCCGGCGAGGTTTCGAAGCTACAGCCATTTGTGCAGGTCCTCCAGGGAGGTGGACAGCAGTAACAGGTGAATCATTGGTGGATCAGGTGTCCGGATAAGTCATAAATACAAGCGTGATAAAGAAGTGATTCCTAAAATTTGTTGGACAAGTCATTCTTTCAACATGTTTCAAAGGGATCTCGAAACATTGGACGTGCTAAATGTTTTCTGACAGCCTGAGAATTATTATTTATGATTTATATTTAGATATGTATATATATACACAATATATACACTTGGCCTCCATAACCTACTTTTTTTGGGTTGCCAAAAAAGAAGCAGGTTTTGGACAATAACCCGCTGTTTTCCATAGAGGCTTTTGGTTATTGGAAATTACGGGCTAAAAATAAACGAATCATCCAAAAACCAGGTTTTTTGATTCTACACCCCAAAGAAGTTGATTAAGGACACCCAAGGTATATCAGATGTATAATATATATATATATACGTATATATAATTACATATGTAATGTAATGTAATGTAATGTAATGTAGTGTAGTGTAGTGTAATGTAATGTAATGTAATGTATGGTATGTATGGTATGTATGGTACGTATGGCATGTATGGTATGGTATGGTGTGGTGTGGTATTGTATGGTATGGTATGGATTTGTATGGTATTGTATGGTATGGTATGGTTTGGTATGGTATGGTATGGTGTGGTGTGGTATTATATGGTATGGTATGGTATGGTATGGCATTGTATGGTGTGGTATTGTATGGTACGGTATGGTATGGCGTGGTATTGTATGGTATGGTATTGTATGGTATGGTATGGCATGGTATGGTATGGTATTGTATGGTATGGTATGGTATTGTATGGTATGGTATGGTATTGTATGGTATGGTATTGTATGGTATGGTATTGTATTGTATGGTATGGTATGGTATGGTATTGTATGGTATGGTATGGTATTGTATGGTATGGTATTGTATGGTATGGTATTGTATGGTATGGTATTGTATGGTATGTATGGTACGGTATGGTATGGCGTGGTATTGTATGGTATGGTATTGTATGGTATGGTATGGCATGGTATGGTATGGTATTGTATGGTATGGTATGGTATTGTATGGTATGGTATGGTATTGTATGGTATGGTATTGTATGGTATGGTATTGTATGGTATGGTATGGTATTGTATGGTATGGCATGGTATGGTATGGTATTGTATGGTATGGTATGGTATGGTATGTATGTGATTATCGTGTATATATATATGGATCAAATTCAAGTTGTTGGACCGTTGGAATCCAAGAGCGATGCCTTTGGCCAGGTTCCGGTGCCACGAGGCAGGGAGAGCTGACGGGAGCTGTGACTAAGCCCTGACTGAACCGTTCCATGCGTACGGAGATTACGATAATAATACTATTAATATACATATCTACTAATAGTATTATAATAATTATCTACAATATTATTTCATATATATATATATCTACTAATATAATAATTTTGGAATCGCCAATTGCAAAAACATCACGATTTTTTGTCTGGATTCTTACTAACACCCTGCTATGGTACAGGCAGAGTAGTTTCAGGTTTGTGCTTTTGCATCAAACTGGAACTAACTATATATATATATGTTTTTGGTATAATGTATGGCTGTAGGAGCAGCAGGGTGGATTCGTGGATAGGACAGTTCAGGGCACATGGAATCCCGATTTCCCACTTTTCAGCAACCATCAGTTGATCCCCAACATCCAGCAGAATCATTTGCTGATTGTTTTGGATAGCTCAAAGTCACCTGCTGGGGAACCTAAGGAGCATGCCTTGAAGCACACCTTGAACTGGGCTGCCAGATTTGCTTTTTGCCTTTGATTTTCAGATATCAAATGCCGCATCAGGCGTCCGCGACTGATGCTGGCCGGTCGCATTATTGATGATGGTAGACCGGGCCCAGAGTTGTTGGTGTCAAAAATTCCAGACTTTTGACTTTGCTCGCTATGGTACAAAGCCAGCTGGGCACAAAGAAGTGCAGCAGGTTGTTGCCTGGATCTCCACACAATGTGATGTTTAAATACGTTTCTGATTTCAGATGGTACTCGAATTGCCGAAGGTACATCAAAATAGGGTACAGCGGGAACCTCTGCTTGCCACTGGGAAGAACCGTTTGGACATATTTGGACAAAGGTGCCAGTTTCACTGAATTCCCCGTGTCACGCCCTAGCAGCCGCGTGGCGCAGTGGTGGAAGATCGAACAAAAAGGTGTGACTTTTTGCACTTTGCGGAGCGAGCTGAAACTGTTTCTTGAGGACATATACTGTAAGACTTTCAATGACTTTTATTTGAATCCGACTTTAATCCAGTGAATCCACAAAATTCCAAGTCAGCACAGTCAGCACCTGGTGTGTCTGCAGCCAACGCCAAGGCGTGCCCCAGATGGACTACTCATCTGGTCCAGTGGTGACGAGGCAGCTTGGATCCGAAAATACCAACAGTGGCATAAATGGCCACCGCCAGACATTTCCCATGGAAGTTGTCATGGCAAACGTCCAAAAGGTCAAAAAATCGCTTCGAGCATTGGGAAATTTAGGGAGTTGCATAGCCCTGCTCGCTGTTCTCAGGGTAGGGTTGAGGCGAACTTATCAGTGATTCGTATCGGCCAACAAGCAACCATGCCCACTCTTCAGACCTGCCACCCACATGGTAGAAAAGATGACAATCACATGCTGAGCTCATGGTGAGAGATGACAAGTCTAGTCCTCTGAACACCAGATTCATGGCCTCAAGACGCAACCGTAGGACCGGTGGATACTGAATGTATATAGATTCTGTAGATATTCTGTAGATTCTGTAGATTCTGTAGACTATGTAGACTGTAAGATTGGGAATGGGATGGAATGGCTGTGGAGTGGTGCCAGGTATGGGAGTGGTTGATCCCAGGATCCAAGCCACCAGAGGAGGCGAGCTTTCGACGGTGCGACTGGTGACTTGCATGGTTCAGCATGATCTCTCTGGACGTCTCAGAATGCAATGAATATCAGCAGAAAATACATAAACCATGATAAACCATGATAAACCAGATAAACTAGATGCAATGAATACCAGTTTCATTGACGAGATATTACATTGAAGACAAGTGGTGCGGCAAAGTATGCCGTGGAATAGGAGGCACTGAATGGGTCAAAGTACTGTGTATGTATGGTATGTAACGTCTCAAGATCAGTAACACACACACAATCAACCACAACCAGATATTTGGATACACTAGGACTAAAGGCTATGATAGGCTATGACTATGAGGTGGTATCATGTGTCAAATTCTCGGACCTCCAGTGGCTTTCAGATCTCTCAGTGGATCTTCACTCAGCTGGTCCGAGCTGCTCGGAACTGCTCATCTCGCTATGTACCGGTGAACGTGCGGACAGGTCATCTACGCAGAGGTCTTTGTTGAAGCCTCCGAGCCGAGCAGAGGCCCAGTGATCCAGACACTCATGCATATATTGCATATATATATATGGCATATTCATTGAATATTCATACAATTCAACAAACACACCGATGTTTGGTATCAAGATTGAGGTGGGCAAGTGGATCCAGTTGATATTGTACTGAGAGGTATTGGGTATGTTGAAGAAATGCAAGAAGTGACGACATCCGAGGACCCAACAAACATCAACAAACATTAAGAAACTATAACAGCCACAACAAACCAAGACCTTTGCTGTGACTGTCACCCCTGGCGCTGGTCCCAGGTTGCCTGGACTCTCCCAGGTGCCAGCAGCTTTGTTGCCCATTTCCAGAGCAAAGAATCGCCTGGGGAGTTCCAGTGTTGCAGTGTTGCCGGTCCTCGATACATGTGGCAGTTCCAAGCGGCTGGGCCACTTCGAAGTGGACCTGGTGGCATTTGAGCACAAAGAGGCCCCTTTTCACAGCGGAACGCCATTGGCCAAGGGCGCCATTTGGTAATCCACATGTCCAGATTTTGTTGATTGTCATTGATCCTGACAGAATCTTTGAGTGTAGAAGCATCAGTGATGTTCGGCAATGTGATTATATACTGTATAACAATATGTCTTTCCTGTCCTTGCTTGACACACAGGGTTCATGGATCATTGTGGATCACCATGGCTCGTTGGAGTTGTTGATTGGCTACTCTTTGGACTCAGTGGTTTGCGTAGGATGAGCTGCCGCAGCGATTGGTGAGCCACTTCTTCACACCCGCTGAGGCACGCTATCCGCATGGGGTGCCGGGCGGTCTGGGGAGAATGGCGTAATTGACTTATTGCACCAGATTGGGCTACAGAAGTCAAAGGAATTTCAAGCGACATACTCTGCTTTCCAAAATCATATGATCATATCATATCATTTCATATCATATCATTTCATTTCATATCATATCATTTCATATCATATCATATTTGAGTTTTGCTATGTTTCCGCAGCTGCACCTTTGGTTGCTGAGGTAAATACGAAGTAGGAGCAGATTCCAGAAAACTGTAGTTTGTGAGGCTGGAGATGCCAACGCCTGTGCACGCCTCAGTGGTGATTTATGATGATTATCTTGATACCGATCATCATCGTCTCATCACCGTCGTCCTGATACTGATTCTCAATGATTCCTATGGATTCCTAGGGATTCCTATCCATTCCCATAGATTCCTCCTTGTGGCCACTTCTTGATCTTGGTCAATGTTGCCAAGGCTTTGTGGGCAAGCTGCGTTTGAGCCTCCAAGTCTCCTGGGTGGGGAGCACTCGGAAGTAAACACGTTTCAGCTTTGTAATTGGAACATATCGCAACATTCACCTCTTAGATTCTTACAGATATTGGATCCATGGATACCTAGAAATATCTGTAAAATCCATACTTCCACCGAACCTGTTTCTGAAATTTCCAGACATCCAGAGACGTTTTTGTCTTGCCTAGGAATGCCGTGGCGGCCACGGCGTGCGGGAGCTCCGTCGTCAAACGCGGGAGTTGAAACCTTGGTCGACTGGGTGCGGATGTGTCAGATGTGTTGGATATGTCATGATTCATGATGTGCACAATGTACACTGTTCTGTACACATGCATGAAGGATCCGAGGGCACTAGCATGGATGTCAGAAGTCAAACTGGAAATCATTCCTGTCAACTTTAGTCGACAGCATTCATTCACGAGTGAAGCAATCTGCTCTGGCTGCAGCTGGTAGTGTTTGACACCAGATAGTCCTGGCAAGAAAGACAAGGTGACAGCGAATGGTTGAGTCTTGTTAACTGTTAGGGTTTGCAGAAGTCTTCCTAGACCAGCATACTTTCAACATACTTTATATGGAAAACATGGTGGGTTAGAGCCCCCCAGCTGAAAAAACCCTTTTAGGCAGTGCTCAACGACTCAGCTCAGCGTCCGTCCGGCGAACCGTTAATCCTCCATGGCGAGATCTGCTTATGAGATACGTAGGCGCCCAGAGTTGAGGGACAGAAGGGGGCCCAATGGACCAGGATGTGATGAAGTGAGCTCATTCGCAGAAATCTTATTACTTCAAGCCGCCATTTGATGAGCTTTGATGAGCTTTGTTTGAGAGCATTGTTTGTGGAATGAATGTTTTTCAGTGGTAAAGCAAAGGTTCAACATAAAATGCATTCCACAGGATTCCACAGGCCATGACATTCCGAGCACTGGGAATTGCGAGGTTCGCTGATCCAATGGATCGCTTTGCTGGTCCTCGTTTCAGGAAAACCGGGTGAGCTCTTCCTGACGCAGGCAAGACGGCAAGACTGTTTGAATCACCTCAAATCGCAGTCGCCCATCAAACTTAGAAGGAAGATTCCGACTGGAATGCGGGAATCAGCAGGTGAACGGTAGAAATTCAATGACCAAATCTGCAAAGCACGGCAAATTCGACCAGGGGCCTCCAGTCCACATCCAACTTGGTCATTTCACACGGCTGCGCAGAGGTTTGCCACCATGGAAGGCAGCCGCTTCGACTGTACAGTCTCGAGTTGACAAATTCTTCAGATGCTGATGACATCTTCAAGGTGCGATGGCCTCGAAAATGGGCACAGAGGGGAATGCTGACTTTCGATTTCAATTCGTCTCAGACTCAAAAAAAATCAGAGTACACAACTTGGACTTGTTGATTTGTTGATGATTGGACCAAGACTTTGTTGTTGATGGATGATGGTGACAGTGTGGAGCAAAGTTTTCTGATTCATTGAGGCCACGGCTGTCAGTATTCAAATGCACGAAGCTTGTCGTTTCTAGCACTACCCTCTGGTAAACATACAAAAAACTATGGAAAGATCCATCATTTTTAATAATTAAGTAAATCCACTATAAATGGCCATTTTCAGTAGCTATGTTAGTTTACCAGAGGGTAGCTGCGCTCTGCGCCTTCGATATTGCTATGGAGCAGTGGGTCTCCTCATATCGGAGGAACAGAACAAGAAAAAAAACATGAAAAAAAACCATGAAACAAAAACATGAACAAACATCATATACCGATTCCGGTCTCCGCCGGGCAAGTCGTGAGAGCCTTCATTCGATTCATTCCGAAACTTCCCGCTGGCTGAAAATGAGGAAATGCTACGAACCATTTCGAATGCTGGACGAATGAGCCGATTACGTGCTGTGCGCAAGTTGGGCTTTGACTGCTTTCCGACTGGCAAATGCCGCGCCTGGCTTGGGGGTCTTCAAATGCGGAGTGGAGAAACAAGGCAGCAATTTATGGACCGTGCTGCTTGAAGGGTGTGGTACCTGGATTTGATCGTGAAAATGCAACACTGACCTGCTTGGCTGTCAACACACTCATGGTACGCACGACAATGCTGGTTTCTCAGATTTCCAATGATTTCCACAGGAATGCTTGGCTTTTCATATCCTGGGAGCCGGACACAGCACTGTGTTGGGAGCTGGTGACAGCCGTCGGTGGAAGCAAGACGATGACCATGATGAATTTTCTGACGTTTGGCCTGGGAAGTTTGTGACCTGCTGCAATTTAGACGGCGTTTGTGCTCACGGGCCTCAAATTTTCCTCTAATGACTCTGGTGGTCAGAGTCTGTTTTGATTTGAACACTCTTGTTTCAGCGTCCGTATTTTGAATAATTAGTCTTGAGACACATCCAGTTTACTATCGTGTTTGTGACCCTTTTGGGCAACGTATTGGTCTGTAGGATGGTCCTGCCGACAATTACCGGGAAATCAAAGGTAGAAACTTCATGACATTGTCAAATCGTAACTTTCAGGAATCGGAAGCTTCTCTATCTCAAAGCTCGCCCGTGTATCATTTTAGGTGAAGTGGGGTGCACAAGCAGCTGGACTGTCTGGAGCCTTTCAGCATGGGCTGCGCATGGTTCGGGCTCCGAGCAGGTGGTGCTTTGTCTCTCCGAACAAGGAGATCCGCGATGGGACGAGGTTGAGACCCATGAAATGGTTTATGAATGGTTTATGGGTCTCAAGATTTTTTAAACACCCATTAAAAAATGGTATCCATTTTTATGAAATAGCTAGAACTGGGGGATTCTTAAACTTAAAATAAAAGATGTAAAAAAACAATGCAGAGGACCTTCCCGGGAAGGGCCTCACCAAGACACAATGGGGCAGTTTAGTAGTTTAGCCATCTTTAGACATCTTTATCATCATCCGTTTATCATCATGGCTCCAATCTATATCAGAATCCCCCAGTTCGAAGTCACGTCGCCTCGAGAGGATCTGCGTTTTCACCTTTGGAAGCTGAATTGCGGTGGACGAAGTGGACGAAGTGGACGAAGTCAGCGAAAGGTGGCGGCGGCAACGGTGGCGTCCAAAGCTTGGTTGAGAGATGTAGCTTGGTTGAGAGGAAAAGCCCCATTTTTTGTACGGCAAAAAATCCGGAGAACATCCTTGCCCTTCCAAGTGTTTGAATCGTTCATGTACTTTCAGCAAGCCTTTTGAACAGGTCTTGAGTTTTAAAGCTGTTTCGAATTGCTTCTTCGGAGCAGGTTCGATACATTCAGGTGGTCGATACTTTAGTGAAAACTGTCAGACCAATCAATGGATTGGTTTAAGGGAAAATTTACAGGAAACCTCCATATTTAATGGTAAAAACCATGGTTTCCTGCAGATTTTCCCTCAATCCAATGACCGGAACCAAGGCATTCAAGATCTTCGAACGCCTGAACCCGTTGGTTCCATGGATGCCATTGGAGATGCTGCCCTTCAATCATCCTTTGGCAAGGCTAGTCCGGCTAGTCTAATGCCACGTGAATCAACTAATTACTGAAACCAACCCGAAAACTAGGAGCAGAACAAATGAGGACTTTTCTTTAGGTCTTCATGATTCTAGGCATCAAAAATTGTGTGCACTGATTCAGTGCACTGCAGCAAGGTCGGCAGGGTTGCCATTCAAAGCCTGGCCCTTGCTGTCCTGGCGCGCCAGGCCGTGGTTCCGCACCGAACCCGCGGTTTTGAGTTGCAACAGCAGCTGCTATGACTGGCGCTGGTCGCAACTGCGCCAGCAGCTGTGGGCTTGGCATCGCGCTGAAAACCTGAGGACCAAACGGTTCGAATCCCTGGCAAAAATGACATTGATGCACCATGATGCCCCAGTCTGGCATAGGAAGACGTTCTGTGTAGCCCTGCATTCCCTAAAAATCACAGGAGGTTTTGTTGCATCATCCCAGGACGCTGCCACTGGTACCATATGAAGTGGTGGATCTGATTTCCAGCTTGGTGAATCCCTTGAGCTTGCTGGAGGCAAAGAACGCGAGGAACATTGTATCATGCTACATCAATTATTGGTTAGATAATCTACTTTTCATTCACCTCAGCGGGTGTTTCTCAAGAACGATTTAGTGTATATACGGGCCTTTTTTGTGGATCTCTAAAGTGCATTGCCACTGCTGTGCTCTTCTTCCGGGAGTTTCCAAACACGTGTTGTCAATTTCAGCATGACGTTTTTGAAGAGCTGTGAATCCTAAGCAACCCCAAGTCACAAACACATGGGGATGGGTCAAAACCCTGGTACCTAGTGAACCCCAAAATAGCTGGGATTTATGGATGTTCATTTCACTAAAAATGTATAGGTATTGACCCATACCCACATGACCTACATGAAACAACGGGTTGTCGATAGGATAGCATTTTTGGATCAATGCAATGCAGAATCGCCAGAGATGGGTGTCCCAGTCGCAGGGCATGAACGCATTCATGAAAGGCATGGCATCAGGCGGGCGAGCCGGAAGGTTATTTCTGGTGTCGTGTCATCGGTTGAGTTAATATAGTTAATGTATATGGTGATAGATGAGCAATGGAAAACATATAGTTAATATAGTTAATGTATATGGTGATAGATGAGCAATGGTTATCATATAGTTAATATAGTTAATGTATATGGTGATAGTTGAGCAATGGTTATCATATAGTTAATATAGTTAATGTATATGGTGATAGATGAGCAATGGTTATCATATAGTTAATATAGTTAATGTATATGGTGATAGATGAGCAATGGTTATCATATAGTTAATATAGTTAATGTATATGGTGATAGATGAGCAATGGTTATCATATAGTTAATATAGTTAATGCATATGGTGATAGATGAGCAATGGTTATCATATAGTTAATATAGTTAATGTATATGGTGATAGATGAGCAATGGTTATCATATAGTTAATATAGTTAATGTATATGGTGATAGATGAGCAATGGTTATCATATAGTTAATATAGTTAATGTATATGGTGATAGATGAGCAATGGTTATCATATAGTTAATATAGTTAATGTATATGGTGATAGATGAGCAATGGTTATCATATCAGTTAATATAGTTAATGTATATGGTGATAGATGAGCAATGGTTATCATATAGTTAATATAGTTAATGTATATGGTGATAGATGAGCAATGGTTATCATATAGTTAATATAGTAATGTATATGGTGATAGATGTATAGTCATAGATGAGCAATGGTTATCATATAGTTAATATAGTTAATGTATATGGTGATAGTTGAGCAATGGTATATCAATGGTTATATAGTTAATATAGTTAATGTATATGGTGATAGATGAGCAATGGTTATCATATAGTTAATATAGTAATGTATATGGTGATAGATGAGCAATGGTTATCATATAGTTAATATAGTTAATGTATATGGTGATAGATGAGCAATGGTTATCATATAGTTAATATAGTTAATGTATATGGTGAGTTGAGGTTATGAATATAGCAATGGTTATCATATAGTTAATATAGTTAATGTATATGGTGATAGTTGAGCAATGGTATGGTGATAGATGAGCAATGGTATAGTTAATGCATATGGTGATAGTTATCATATAGTTAATGTATATGGTGATAGATGAGCAATGGTTATCATATAGTTAATATAGTTAATGTATATGGTGATAGTTGAGCAATGGTTATCATATAGTTAATATAGTTAATGTATATGGTGATAGATGAGCAATGGTTATCATATAGTTAATATAGTTAATGTATATGGTGATAGATGAGCAATGGTTATCATATAGTTAATATAGTTAATGTATATGGTGATAGATGAGCAATGGTATAGTTAATATAGTTAATGTATATGGTGATAGATGAGCAATGGTTATCATATAGTTAATATAGTTAATGTATATGGTGATAGATGAGCAATGGTTATCATATAGTTAATATAGTTAATGTATATGGTGATAGATGAGCAATGGTTATCATATAGTTAATATAGTTAATGTATATGGTGATAGATGAGCAATGGTTATCATATAGTTAATATAGTTAATGTATATGGTGATAGATGAGCAATGGTTATCATATAGTTAATATAGTTAATGTATATGGTGATAGATGAGCAATGGTTATCATATAGTTAATATAGTTAATGTATATGGTGATAGATGAGCAATGGTTATCATATAGTTAATATAGTTAATGTATATGGTGATAGTTGAGCAATGGTTATCATATAGTTAATATAGTTAATGTATATGGTGATAGATGAGCAATGGTTATCATATAGTTAATATAGTTAATGTATATGGTGATAGATGAGCAATGGAAAACATATAGTTAATATAGTTAATGTATATGGTGATAGATGAGCAATGGTTATCATATAGTTAATATAGTTAATGTATATGGTGATAGATGAGCAATGGTTATCATATAGTTAATATAGTTAATGTATATGGTGATAGATGAGCAATGGTTATCATATAGTTAATATAGTTAATGTATGTTAATGTGATAGATGAGCAATGGTTATCATATAGTTAATATAGTTAATGTATGTTAATGTGATAGATGAGCAATGGTTTGAGATGGTTTGAGATACTCGACGGTGGTCGAATCTTGCAATGCCAATGCCGGGTGTAACTGCTTCGACGGTTCGACGGTTCGAACCTTTGGAGGTGCCTACGAGCGATCTCAGGAAGGTTGGTTGCCTATTCCGATGTTCAAAGACATGTGCGTCCTTGGGCACATCTCTGTGATGTTCGTTGCTGCGCCTCGGATGTTGGTCCAGCTGCCAAAACATTCTTCTTCTTCGGGAGTCCGCCATTTGCTCAAACACAGACTTTTCCGGTTTTTGTAGATTCTAAACTAAACCTTTCCGGCCCAGTGGCAGTCTCCCCGAAAGCGCAGCGATCAGTAAGGTCCTGGTGTCGTACCAAGCAGGCCAACCCAACCTGGACCTTTTAGAAAGCCTCTACGTCACGGTCTTCCTGCAGGCTTCGACCCAAAACGAATCCTGCTGTGGCAGTGGTTGATTTGACCTCCATGGGACCACTAACTCTTGTCCTTGCCTTGGTCGACTCGCTTTGCCGCTGTTCATTTAGTGGAGCAGCTCCTCTCCAGGACGGAGCAATAATATTTGTCTTGAAAGATCCCACCTCTCTTCCCTCCAGTACTGTGGAACAAAATGCAGTCCCTAGACCTCCGCCTTCTTCACACGATTTTGATCCATTCGGTTGATTTTATTGTCCATGGTCGATAGACTTGACTATCCTTAGCCCCAAAAAGGCCTATAACTATAGGCCCGATAGACTACAACCTGCCTCCACTAGAAATTTGTAAGCTCCTTGTGAAGCATTGATCTGGACAGGGCATTTGGGTGCTGCTGGATGGGCAGTTGTGGCCAATCATTGCCGCTGACTTCGCAGCTTAGATGCAGCGGCTGCTGGATGGGTAGAGGGGAGGGATGGCTCAGACCTTTCCAACCACCTCAACCACCTCAACCACCTCAACCACCTCAATGGCATGTGATATTTGGGCTGTTTTGAGTCTGGAGTTCGATAGAAGTTTCATAGGCTTTGATTTGATAGGATACAAACGGATACAAAAGGCTATTACATATCTGCATACATCGATACCCATTAAACCAACTTTAGCTTCTCACACGTGATTTTTCACCCAAGCCTAAGGGCCTAAACCATCCATTGCACCATCCGAAAAAACGATCCTAAAGATTGCTCCAAGTTGCACATGGTGAACATCTCACATCTCCAAGGTGAAGTTGAATGAGTTGCACCATCGGAGCTCGCATCGGAAGGTGGGCCCCGTGGGCCAAGCCTGGCAGCGTTGTCCCTGTGCGACGCTTCCAGGTGATCATCCAGGTCATAGAGGAATCGAAGCTTGGCAGAAAGGTGGAGCAGCCAATGGCTGCAGCAAATTCTATGGGTAATATGATGGTAATATGATAGTAATATGATAGTAATATGATGGTAATATGATAGTAATATGATGGCAAGTTGATAGTAATATGATAGTAATATGATGGTAATATGATAGTAATATAATGGTAATATGATAATATGATGGTAAGATGATAGTAATATGATAAATATGATGGTAATATGCAATATGATGGTAATATGATGGTAATATGATGGTAATATGATAGTAATATGATAGTAATATGATGGTAATATGATGGTAATACGATGGTAATACGATGGTAATATGAGAGTAATATGATGGTGATATGATGGTAATATGATGGTAATATGAGAGTAATATGATGGTAATATGATAGTAATATGATGGCAATTTGATAGTAATATGATGGTAATATGATGGTAATATGATGGTAATATGATAGTAATATGATGGTAATATGATGGTAATAAGATGGTAATATGATGGTGATATGATGGTAATATGATGGTAATATGATGGTAATACGATGGTAATATGAGAGTAATATGATGGTGATATGATGGTAATATGATGGTAATATGAGAGTAATATGATGGTAATATGATAGTAATATGATGGCAATTTGATAGTAATATGATGGTAATATGATGGTAATATGATGGTAATATGATAGTAATATGATGGTAATATGATGGTAATAAGATGGTAATATGATGGTGATATGATGGTAATATGATGGTAATATGATGGTAATACGATGGTAATATGAGAGTAATATGATGGTGATATGATGGTAATATGATGGTAATATGAGAGTAATATGATGGTAATATGATAGTAATATGATGGCAATATGATGGTAATATGAGAATAATATGATGGTGATATGATAGTAATATGATGGTAATATGATGGTAATATGATGGTAATATGATGGTAATATGATGGTAATACGATAGCAATATGATAGTAATATGATGGTAATATGAACGTAATATGATGGTAATATGATAGTAATATGATAGTAATATAATGGTAATATGATAGTAATATGATGGTAATATGATAGTAATATGATGGTAATATGATGGTAAGATGATAGTAATATGTGGTAATATGATGGTAATATGATGGTAATATGATGGTAATCTGATAGTAATATGATAGTAATATGATGGTAATATGATAGTAATATGATGGTAATATGATGGTAATACGATGGTAATATGATAGTAATATGATGTTAATATGATGGTAATATGATGGTAATATGATAGTAATATGATGGTAATATGATAGTAATATGATGGTAATATGATAGTAATATGATGGTAATATGATGGTAAGATGATAGTAATATGTGGTAATATGATGGTAATATGATGGTAATATGATGGTAATATGATAATAATATGATGGTAATATGATGGTAATATGATGGTAATATGATGGTAATCTGATAGTAATATGATAGTAATATGATGGTAATATGATAGTAATATGATGGTAATATGATGGTAAGATGATAGTAATATGATGGTAATATGATAGTAATATGATGGTAATATGATGGTAATACGATGGTAATATGAGAGTAATATGATGGTAATATGATAGTAATATGATGTTAATATAATGGTAATACGATGGTAATATGAGAGTAATATGATGGTAATATGATAGTAATATGTGTATAGTATAGTATTAATGACATTTAATGACATTTAGTGACAATGATACACAGTGTATAGAGAGATGAGTTGGGAAAACAGCGTTCAGACCCAGCCACTGCTTGTTTGACTTATAGGAACAGCAAGCAATATAGAAGACTGGTCTGTTTGTGACATCTCACTTTGAATTGACTAAGCTTGTCAAGCAGAACATCTTGAGAGTTGAGGCACAGAGGAGCAATGTGGGACACTGGAACGTGGCTCTCATTGTTTCTTGACTTCAATGCAGAACGATCACGAGAAACCTTACGGTACCTCATACGATTTTCACATGTGGTTTCAGAACGATATAGATAGGAGTTGGGACTAGTACTACTATGTATGTAGACCATGAAAAATATGTATCACACAGGGATATAGACTGCATGATGTACCATTTGCTTCATTTCTATAAAGGCTGCCTTTGAATCTTTTCCTGTGTGTAATCATCAGCAAACTTGAGAGGAAACGCACCCATCTTCCGCGGTGTTTTGTTCATGCCAAAATGGCCCTTTCCGGCGGGGTGAGTCTCCTGGTTCTTCTTTGCATGCATCACGGGTTTTTGCATGAGATTTTGTGAGAATCTTAGTGCAGAGCTACAGGGCCCAGTTTTCAGCCTCCCAGAAACCTGCGGCACTAGGGTGGCCACAACTACGTCTTTGACATTGCCCTGGGGTTGCGAGAAGCCAGCATGGCACTCTCGATTCCAGCAAACTTGAACTTGCTTGGGTACGAACTTGCCGAGAAGTTTGCAGCCTCTGCAGAGTATTGTGAGCCACTTGAAGTGAATAGTGAGTCTAGGGTTGAAACTGAGACGACCTCTCACCCTCAGCCTCTTTTCGTACGGCTTGACTGCCTTAGCCATCCTAGCCATTCCTAGCCCAAGACCATCAACAATTAGTTCAGGTGAGCGAAGAACTTCAGTTTTGTTTGGTTTACCCGTTTATCCGTTGTCGTGCGTCTCCTGCTGCTGTCCAGAACGAAGCTTTTTCTCACTCATATCCTCTGGCTGCTTCATTTGTAGGTTGCTGGGTGCCGGCTTTTGTCTGCGCGATGGCAACGTGAAGCATCTCATTCGTGTGCTGTCCGAACCAAACCATGGCCTTGAGAAGCACCATGCCACCTTGGTGTCATCGAGTGACTCCTTGCTTCAGGACTTGGAGATGGGCACTCGATGGGGGTTTCCAGAGTGGACACTCTGATTTCAACACACTTCAACACATTTCAGTCAATCGAATCTCTAGGACATCTAGGATCTAGGACTTAGTTGGCTGTCACCCCCGATCAGTCAAAGAAACGCACAGACAGCTGGAGGCCAATGCGTCGGGCCTTGATCTGGCTGCAGCTCAAGAAGAAGCTCGGAGAGCGTATTTGCAGAGCCCTGTGCTGCAGGGCGCTGACTTCGTTGTTTGCACCTTCCCGTGACCTTGACTTAACATCAGTGGATGCGGAGCGCAAACTTGCAGATTTTCGAAAAATCAGCCACTTTTCTGAGAAAGAATATTCTAGGAATGGGAATATGACATTTCTCAAAGGTCAATTTCTGCACGTTGGTCCCCAAGTTTGATGATCAGTACCCCTTTGATGAGACATGTTCTCGTTCGGTTGGTTGATTGCAGGCAACAGCGCTTTTCGTGGCAATTTGAGCCAAGTGAACACCAGACTCAGTGACTTACAGCGGAAGAACTTCAAATAAACATGAGAGCATACTGGTCACGCTACATACTTGTAGGTTTCAGAATTGGACATGCTATAGCATCTTAGTTTACTGTAGTTATATATACATTGAGTCTCCACATTTGACATGGATACACAATCGGTGAAAAAGAGAGCTTTCGTTGTTAATTAGCCATGTGGCGGTCAGACCTTCCTTTTTGGTCGGTGATATCAGTTATATCTTAGCCCTCACGGCTAAATCCAATCAGATCACCGATCACCACGGGTGTGATCCAACAGGTATGTACTGGCCTACCTGTTGGATGACGTGTCTCGGCACCAAAAAAAGTGCTCAGAGCTGGACCACGATTTCGGAAAGAGATCGAAGAAACTGAGGTGCCAGAGCTCCGACAGTCTGTCCTGTTGATTTGGCAGGGAGGTTCCTAGGATGCAATGGCACCATGGCACCTGCAACCTGTAATCTGGAACCAGACAAGCGAATCTGAGAATTTGGTTCCGGCTCCACAGTCAACTTCGTCCCTAAGGCACACCAGTTGCTACTTGTAACTTGTACTGTCGTAGTTGTATACCTCTGTTTTCTAGATGTTCGCATGTCATGCTGCTTCCCACTCACACTCTTCTCCTCCTGTATAGCGGGTATGTGCGCTCAGTCAGTCTGCATAAGCTAAGGATCCTTGTTGGAATACCTGCATGAGGACCTACATGAGTGGGCGCAAGGAAAATTGCTTCAATGGCGAACAAGGCACCGACCAGTCCGATTCCATGAAACTGAAGTAACTCTAAGTGATTCTAAGTGTCTCTAAGTGTCTCTAAGTGTTACGGTAGTGTTGCAGATCATTTCTGAAAAGCAGGGCTGGAACATTGTCCATCGAGACAATTTTCGAATTTGGCCATGATTCAGTGAAGCCCTGAGGGTCCAAGGCTCATGGCAACAGTGCTTATCGAACATCATGCAACACATTCTGTGCTTCGGCAAGCGGCAGTGCCATGAACACACCCACACAGAGGTTTGAAAAAACCAAGGGCTCTCAATCTGATTCTGTGCAAGTGGTTCGATCCCATTATTGCCTACTGTTTATGTCATGTGCGGATGCATTTCAATGTCAACCCCGGATGAGACTAAACCATGGTTTATTAATCAGGGGGTACTCCTCCAATAGTCATAATCTTATACTTAAATGGTACCCTCCCAATTCAACAGCCGTAAACGGGGTTTATGAAAATCCAGGGTTGACATTATTCCATTTTAATCTAAACAGTCTAAACATTGAAATTCAACCTGGAATCAACCTGGACCAATCCAATTTCTACAGTACAAGAGGTCCTCCTCGGCAGAACAGGAGGCTGTACGTCATGAACCACCTGGACCATCATTGGCTACGAAGGCATTGACTACAGCAGGGGGTGGTTAAAAAAGCAGGTGGCTTTTTTGGATATTCGGCTAGGAGGAAATCAACAACACACTGTGGTTCTACTGTGGTTCTACACATGGGCTACTCCATTTGTGAGCAGCATGGTACTTTTGAAATCTTTTGAAGATCACTCGGGTTTTCTTTGCTATGAAACGACAGCATCCAATCCCTTTCGATCTATTTCTGGTCTGTATTCTGAGATGGAAGACTTGAAAAAAAGTTGGAGATTCTCCACTTGCATCAGGGTAAAAGCCATTACCAGGACTGTGGGTTCGGTGCCTTTTGTGCCCTTCGGAGCTCGGCATGTGCATGGTGTGTTGGAACGTCAACTGGGCAACGTCTATGGCTCCAATAGCAGATCAAAACAAGTGCTGGTGCACAGGCGCGCCTGGGCTGAGAGCCGAAACAAAAAGGGTCTCCGTAGTGGACAGTGCACCTGTGAAGCTGGATTACATTTCGCATGTAACAAAGATGAACATACAATATCATACAATATGATACAATATGTACTGTGTACATATAAACTGTAATTTTTACAATGCATATTCAACTTCTCTCTCTCTCTCTCTGTATATATATATATGTATATACAAATGTAGATACAATAGTAATAAACATAATAATAATATTAGTAACATCTGTCTGTACTTACAGCACATATACTAACAACATGTTGAGTTGCGAGTGGACATCACGTCAGACGATGCCTGATGCATACTAGCAGAAACGATTGCCTTGCAAATGATAGAGCCCGGCTCTGAGTCTGAATTATGATCATAGCATGTCGGATGTCACTTGTCATCTCACTGTGGCTGGGCAGGATGCATTTCATCCTCTCTCAAACGGAGTTCACTCTGCTGAAGACGCTCATGGAACATCACTTTGAGTCAAAGGTGGGCCGTGTGATGTGTTGGACGATGGCATACGATGGCCCTTTTGGCACGAAAGACCGTGCCCCGCAAAATTCCAGGTCAGCGATATAGATCTCAAGCTTCACTGGCCACCGTTTGAGATCTGGGAACTCATCAATTTCAAGGCCTCGTCAGGGGCGCAAAGTGGCTGTGAAAAACACCAGCATCGTCAATGTGACCAGTGTGCTTTGAAGAATGAACTTGTTTTGATGAAAACAATCTCTACTGAACTGTACTTGTGAGAATGGATGGCATTCTTTTCCATGAGATTCTGAGTTTGAGTTGGAAGGGATTGTTGAGAAGATCACACAAACATTTCCTGCGCCTTGTGTAGATGAAGTTGATCCTACTTTGCTTTAGTGGGGCAGCCTCTGTTGAGAAAGGTTATATGAACATCCTGAGCCTTCCTCACGGCTCTTCCAGGCAATTGTGCTGTTCCCATGGAACCTCGAGATCACCACTTTTCTGGAATTCTACCGGCTTAACATTCCTCTTTTCGTGCAGCTCTCAAAAGCTGAACTTTTCGTGAACCGCTCCTGATTGTGCAGATTTTCCAATCGAGTATGGGAGATTTTGCCCAAACCGGCTAACTGTTTCTCAGCTATCCATAGCTATCCATAGCTATCCCTGGGGCTTTCCCTCACCGTCACGTCTCAGCTTTGCAGTTGCAGCAGCCTGAGGTCCCAGATTCGAGTTTCATGTCCGTGGTGGTTTGGTGCTACTCAGTTGCAACTCGAGCGAATCAAAGAATTCCTGTAGATCCCAATATCAACTCATGGAAAATCCGCCTCAGCAATGGTGAAATCGATCCCATCAGCAACCCTAGCATGCAATCTTCCTCGTTTGGGTGATATGCTACGATTCATGTTTGAAATCCTCGGCAAAGCTACATGCAGGAGTGTCCATCCTTTCTCGTGTCAATCACTTTAAGGCGATGAGGTAATCACTGGCCATTTCAGGATCCTAAATTGGAGGTACCTACCATATATAAGGCCTATGTAAGGCCTATGTAAGGGAATATCCCCAGAAAATATGGACTTATATGGTACAGTACCTCCATTTTAGGATCCTGAAATTCCCATTGAGGTAATCTGGCTTCAACAGAAAACTGCATGGATCATGGCCAAGTTATGTACTAGGGGGTTAAGTAAGATGTATGCATATATATATACATATATATATATAACTAAATATATATATATATATACATATATATATATATAATCATATATCTATATAATTATACATATATATATATAATCATATATATATAATCACAGAATATATAGTGATCGATGCAATTTCCAAATCCTTTGTGAATTATGTGAATGCTCCAGAGGCTACATGGTGAATCCGGCCTTGCAGCACGTGCATCGCTTCACTACAATCAGGCCTGTGTAAAGGATAAGGTTAATTGGCTTCTGAACTCTCAGAAGAGTGTTTCAATACCAATATTCGCACGAAAATGTACGTCGCGGTTCCGTGCTATTGACCTTGGGAACGCACGAGCCAGGAAGGAATGGTGGCATGGAGCTTCCTGTCATCTACAACCATCACCAGAGGAGTGTTTGCAACTCAGATCTGTCCCAGCTGTCCCTAGGATTTTTTTAACGATGATGAGCCAGTCTTGATTCACGACATTTCAGAACGTCCTATCATGCTGGCATTGTTTACCAAGTAATTCTGTTGTGAAAAGTATATTATCATGGGACTAAGCACAGCATGCAAGATCTACAGACAGGGCTTGGATGGGCTTGGTATGGCTCTGTTGATTCTCAAGAGCCACAGCAGTCGAGATTCACCACAGCTGGAAAGAAGGCCTTGCACGAAAAAGACGTCAGCTGAGGTGCTGGGGCTGAACCAGACTCAATTCCTCCATGGTTGGATTCCGAGAACGAGATGCCACTGTACAAACAGATCAACAGCTGGTGTCGCGGTAGCATTTAATCATATTTAATCAGAATTAATCATATTTAATCATATTTAATCATATTCAATCATATTTAATCATATTCAATCATATTTAATCATATTCAATCATATTTATATAATCATATTTACTCATATTTAATCATATTTAGTCATATTTAATCATATTCAATCATATTTAATCATATTTAATCATATTTAATCATATTTAATCATATTTAATCATATCCAATCATATTCAATCATATTTACTCATATTTAATCATATTTAGTCATATTTAATCATATTCAATCATATTTAATCATATTTAATCATATTCAATCATATTCAATCATATTTAATCATATTTAATCATATTTAATCATATTTAATCATATTTAATCATATTTAATCATATTCAATCACAATATTTAATCCCCTAAATGCCAGCCACGAGCTTGCTTCATTTTCGTCGAAGGAAGGTCCAGAGAGATCGGTTAATGATCATTTAATGATTGCAGTCATCGTGTAAACGAAACTTTTGCATGGTGAAGATTGGTGAAGGGTTGGGATTTCTCTTGTGTTGACATCACCTGGCAGGACTGCCGAATTGCTTCTAAGTGCCATTGGATCGTTTGCTTTTTTTGTCAGGCCGGGTTTCTTGATTGCAGGTGGCAAGAAACAGACTACGTGAAGATGCCCCACGTTCAACACTTCACTGGAGTGGTTCATCTGCTGCAGCAACTTCATCACTTTGATGCTCATTCTGTTGCTGGGTACTTAGGAAGATTGCAACGCTGGGCGCAGGGTCAGTGGGCAAGCCAGATAGGGTTTGATATCATTAATACATTTTTTCGTTCTATTTCATTCATGTTGAACATTGAAAGGAGCTTCTTGCGATTGTAGGGTTAATACATTGCCCCTCCTGACATCATGGTACCTGAGGTCAAGAGAATGCGAGCGGCAAATCTGGCAGATCAAATGAAGTCCGCAGGTGTTTACGAAGCAATGTTGGGCACCAGGTGAAAAGGCCTGGCCAAGCCAGAAGGAGGATCGGGGATCGTCAGACTCGTACACCAAAGTGTATATATATATATATTATATATCAATTATATATATATATTATAATATATATATATAATTGATATATAATATATATATATACTATATAAGTACACACTATATGCAGTGCCTTGGATATCTCTCTGATTTTCTTGCGTTGCTGGGATGGAATGGGACCTTCTTTATGGCTGCAAGGGGTTTGTTGGTCCTCCAAAGTGAGGACCCACGGCTCCTATGGAGTCCAGCTCTTCCGTTTGAAGGGTGAAACGTGGGACTGTGCAAGCCCTGAATTTTGTGGGACCACAAAAGCAGCGTTTTTTGTCGTGCGAAGACGTGTAAAATCACCGGAAGACATGCGAAAAAATCATCTCTGCGACCCTCTTCCATTCCGAATGGTTAGATTCAGGGGATGTGGTCTCGGGTCTTGCCACCTGTGCTTTAGTTCCTGATCCGATGAGTGGCATGATTGGCGGCCGATGCAAAGTGTGTCTTTGCGTCAAAAGCTTTGTGGCGTCGGCTGGACATATTTCTGCGTCAGGATGGGTTATCATTGGCGACCAAAGAAGTAATTTGAGCTTTTTTTTGGAACATAATTGCTCGAATACCGAAAGTAGGGGCAGGCGAGTTTGTGTTGGAGTTGGGGGCTGCCTCGCGCCAATGTGTTTGATCAGGGTCCCATGTTCAAAGCTTCCGCGTTATGTAATCGAATTGTTTTATCATATATTGCGAGGGTCATAACTGGAAGCCAATAGCCTGCTCATGGCTTTTATCCAGAAGAAATCCATGTGTTTCTTGGATATTAAACATTATTAAACTCTATTTCGGAGATTTGCCGAAGTTTGAGATATATACCCATAATTGGCATTGGGCGTTGGGGACCTTGGCTCCCGAAAAGCTGAGGGTGAACCAACTGGTAGACGAGGTGCTGCAAGAGGCCTGGCTGTGAGGCATAAATTGACATGCTACATGCAACTTTTCAAACGCATCAACAACGAACTGATGGCCTTTGGTGGCCTTGGTCATACGGGTTTCTACCCAAAAACGACAGCTGCTAGCCTTTTGGTGATCGATGATCCTAGTTGACCAATCCTTTGAAGTGTCCAGGAGCGATTGGAGATTTGTGATGACCCGGAACAGACCGAGGATGTTGCAGAGCTACTTGATTTCAGCTATAGATGCGCGAGGGCAAGACGGGGACACATGGAAAAAGATGGAAACACAATGAAAAACATAAGACAGTTTTGCAGCGTCAATTTTATCACATCATGTTGCCATGGCTGAGGCAGCTTCAATCTGAGCGGGCTGAGTCCCGATACAAGGTTCGACGGATGACTGCATGTGGATACAGAGGGCCGAATTTCGCCCAGAGTGATAGAACTAGTGACTAGTCACTAGTGGATCAAACATCCAGTGCTTGATCCAGTGCTTCATGGCTTGTGTTGAATGTTTGCCTACTGGTCAGCTTGGAGACTCTACAAGGAAGCACTGGAAACCTAAACTCATTGTTGACCAATGTCTGAATTCAATGCCCATCATGGATGAGGCCGCACTGCGCCAGCAACAAAAATTCCAGGAGGACTCCCTGTGGGTTTGTTCCGCAAGCGCAATTTTTCGGAATGGTCGTCATATGATTATGATGATGATGATGATGATGATGAAACCAAGGAATATGGCTTCTTCACATTGTCATGACGAGTTGACTGTGGGCAGGGGTTTTGAGGTAGAGTCAGTAGGAGTTGAAGTGCCATAGCCACCCTGCACACTTCTCAAGCTGGAATTTTCAAAGTGGTTCCACACCCAGCATAGAGTGTCTGGAGATGCAGTGAGACCAGGAAAGACGAAGCGAGCCACTAAAGAAGGCAGGTTTTTCTCCGTCTTATTCTGTCTATCATTTCTCGCCATATCAAGTGCGAGCAAGTGACTCTCTCTCTCTCTATCCATATTTTTTTTTGTATATACATATTTTAGAGAGACATACAGGGACATGTTGTATACGTTTCTCGATCTTTTCCTTCCAGGTATCCAGAAGCTGATTTGCCGGATAACAGCCAGGGAGCAAATAGACATAGGAAGGTTTGGCATGAACCATGATCTCCAGCCTGTTGTTAGTCAAAGCTGTACAAAGAAGCATGGAGATTGGCCTAGATTGCGTACAACGGGAGGGGATTGTTGGTTCATGGACGTTCATGGATCATTCTGTTTCAACCTCCAAAACGACCTAGATGCGCTAGATGCTCTAGATTGCAGTGGGGCAGGTGTTCGCCCCCTTGGATCTACACTATGTTGGTAAAATATGGTAAAATCGGATCCTAAGCTGGGAAACAGCTGGGAACGGCTGCGACAAGGAACTTTCAATGACTCAGTGGGTCTCACGAGCTCTGTGGGAGGAGCTCCTGGACAGCATTGGATGACTCAGTGGCTCTGAAAATTAAAGATTGTATCATGGCGACAAGGACCAAATGGCCTATGAAACATGGGACTTGGGTCATTTTGGCATATTTTGCCAGCTAGGCACCCAGAAAATTTTTGTGAACGCTATCCACCCAAATGCAGACCTATCATGTTTTTTTCGACAATTCTCCGGTCCCGAGGCGTTGCGGCTGCAAGACCATGGAGGAGATGCTGCCGCCGCAAGAATTATTGGCTGAGCAGCTGATCTGGTGGCGGAAGAGGTGTCTCTTGTGGGATTTGGAACCGAGAAGGGGGGGAAGTGGGGTGAGCTGTTCAGATAACTTTCAGAGCTGGTTAGCTGGTTCTCTTTCTCTGCACTGAAGATACCCTCTGGTAAACTAACATAGCTATTGAAAATTGCCATTTATAGTGGATATTCCCATGAAAAATGGTGATTTTCCATAGTTATGCAAATGTTTACCAGAGGGTACCTTGCAAATCTGTTTCGATCCCTTGATTGTGACAGATCTGTTTTGTCATGTTTTGTCGAGAGCTTTGTTTTTAAGGCTTCGTTTTGTTGTTGCGCCACAGAATCCCCACATTGGGATGTCGGATCCGTTCCCTGAGGCTGCATGAGGTCGAAAAGCAGCAATCGACTCTGAACCACAGGCATCAACACCATGGCTGCTGGTAACCATGTTCGGCGTTGCAGTGATTTTATTTCCTGCATGTTTCTGATCTAAAGTAAGAATGCACCAAGAGGATGCCCTGCAAAATCTGAAACCATCTACATCATTGTGACATCATTGTGACATAATTACAGTACCTCAGATCACCATTGACGTCACTGTGCGAAGCTGCAGCTCAGAGCTGTGAAGGATGCGATCCCAGTCGCCGCGGATGAGCAAGACGCGCAACCAGCGACACAGGTTGGGGCACACAATGGACAACCGTGGACGAACATGGACAAAGCAGGTGAGCGGTGAAGGAGCTGAAGTGGTGCCATAAAAGCACTTCTGGATTGGACATGATTTGATAAATTGTTTCAATCCTTTCCCCGAAAACATGGCGATGTTTTCAATCCAAGAACTCCTTTGCTCAGAGATATCATTCACATTTGTTCACGCTCATCCTTCGCATGTATTTCTCAATGTATTTTGTCATGTTCGTGACAATTTGGACGTACTTGCGACAAAACCCAGAATCATAATTTGAAAAACATTCCCTATCGGGTAGGTGGGATAGGATAGGTCGTCAAACTCTCCGCCTTCATTGACGGGTCATTGGAGGCTGGGTCCTTCCTGTACTGCTCTGCCTGGAGACGTACTGCTGCCAGAGGCGACTGTGGGTTGAATCAACTTGGATCTGCCTTTGAACTGGGAATAGTCAGACAGACCGTCATGAAACATGACCGCATTCGGGAACCTTCACATGGTCGGCTAAATTGCGTGAACGCCAAGAACCAGGAATCTGATCCCAAGTTCATAGATTCCTAGATGATGGACTATGATGGATATGGATGTTTTTTGTTTGGTCAGAGACACGGAATTCACAAACATTTCCGTTTGCTGGCACATGACAGGTACATGTGACTTCACCGAGCGAGGTCTCCCCAGGCGCCACTCGATTCTTCTGGCTATGTCCCAAAACTGTTGCTCGGAGATATGATGAATATCTGGGTCCAGTTTTTGAACAGACCACAGGATTTCTTTGCCTATATTTAGCTTTGTCAGTAGGGTCCCGGTTGGCACACTTGATGTAGGTGGGTCAACCATGTCAATCATGTCAACCTGTTCACCTGCCGTTGCCTCATGGCAGGTGCCTTTTCCCCGTCATGGGAGTGTGACAAAGTCTCACACTGTGGAAATTCATCAGTCACGACAACAGGTGAGACCGGCACCCACATTGCTTGGATGGTCGCAATATTGGGAGGTTCATGTCGAGTCCCTGTAGTTGATTCAAAAAACATCAGGCACCTTTCTGTTCCCAAGCTGCATCCAGCTGTGCCAGCTGTGCCAGCTGTGCCTTCACAGATGACATGATGAGATGCCGCAGGTCACCAATCCTCACCTTCACTTGGCCTACAGGCGTACTGGAAGCTGAAGGTCACCCGAGGTCACCAAAGGTCATGACTGAACTAAGCAGCGGATATGCTAAGACATGCTCACCGTTTATGCTTTTATATTGTAGTATAATATAGAACATATAAAACACACACACACACACGTCCAGCAGAGACAGCACTACTTAGATGTACTGTCATGAATCTACTTGGATAAAAAAATGGCTTGGGTGGACGCCACATTTTTGGTGCCTGGTGCCATCTAATCAGGAGAATTGTGACTCTGAGAAGCCTGATTTCTGATGCCAAACACGGGTTGTCAGGCTCTTTTGGATCACAGGATGAGACCAGGACCGGACCAAGGCCAGGTTAGTTTCACAGGGTGGCATGGTGGAATTTACATAGAAACCCTTGATGTCTGGGTACACATTTGTTTAATTATGTTTAATTTACATACTGAAACAGGAGCAATGTGAATGAATCAACATGTCCTGGGCAGCTCCTAAGAAATTACGAACTACGGCTGAGTCGGCCGAGTATGACCTGCAGCGGTGTCCATGGATTTCTTTCTCCGATCGCTTTTTAATCCGCTTTTGCTTGGAGAATGTGGGAACCATGTCCCATAGGATCCATGGTGCTGGTATATATGCTAACATGACTGGGATATATTGATGGGATCCATGTTACCATATATGGCAGCACCATGGATCCTATGGGTGTTCATTGTTTGACTGAGTTTCACAATCCCAGAGATAAAAACGGCAGCGAGATCGGCAGGTTGGGATTTCGGCAACGATGGCACCTCGGAGGTACCGAGGGGTTGCTACCACCGGACCTGCAGTGGATCTCGATGACCTAAGGAAACTGCAAAGTACCGAAATTTGGATACCCTCTGGTAAACATTTACATAACTATGGACAATTTACCATTTTAAATGGGAAAACTCACTATAAATGGCCATTTTCAATAGCTATGTTAAATTACCAGAGGGTATGACCTGATGAAGCGCTATGAGCCAGTGTAGTAGCCACTTCCTCTAAGCAGCTGTGTCCGCGAAAAAACAAGCGATTGCATGCCAACGCTGTATCTCCGACGTCAAAAATTGTGATCGCAGCAAAAGAAAAGCAACGGTTATTGCAGGGCGCATTGGTGAATCGCCCAGACACTTCCGTACTTTAACATCTTGCAACAAAGTCTAACCCATGGTGTTGTGGAGCACAGGTCAGCAGATTTCTGCGACAGCACCGTGGCTTACCAGAGGCTAGGGAACAAGTAGCATTTGCGAAGGATAGGGAAAAAGATCAATTATAGATTAACAGGATAGGGAATAATCATCCCAACTGACTTTCATATTTTTTAGAGGGGTAGGTCAACCACCAACCAGTTAAAGTCCGGTATCCTTGAATCTGCTGTACCTCTACAATGACTGGCTCTTGATCAACCAACGGATTTGAACAATTTTTCTGTCTCCCTCTCTCTGAGTGACTCCCAAAACCCACTGCCAAAACCTCAAACCCTTGAGGAAATCAGAGAATTCCAACACACCCAGCATGTCGAAGCTGACCTTTGCAGACCTTTTGATCCAGCAGAAAGATGGCAGCTCTTTTGATCCAGTGTTAATGGCTGTCTCTGCGTCCCACAGGCGCAGCAGCTCCTGTCCTCTTTGCCATCAAGGCTGGACATGAGAGGACCTGTAAACCTGTCCACGAATCTATAGATCATACCAGGAGGATGAGGGAAAGCTGTGGTTAGAACAGGGCCAACTTGGTTAGACATCTGGAGATTCATCGACGAGGCAAACAAATTCTGCAGATTCTGAGTGACCTACCAGGCCACTTCATCGTCTCAGGGCTCAGGTCATTCAGGCCGGATGGGTCACAGCGGCGCTTTCGATGTGTCCATTCAGAATGATTGAGTAAATGAATGATCTAAAATCTAAAATAAAGATGCAAAATTGCATGACACGGGAGGCTACACTGGGATAAGATGCAGCGGTTCGTCTTTTTAGCTAGCGAAATTAACATCTTTGTGCCACGAGTTTGTCAGGCCACGAGTTCGTGTGCCATGGTTTTGCGCATGTTTTACCATGGCCACTATCGTGTTGCAATCTATTGCACTGGAGATTTGCTTCTGGATGTCTCTGGTGAGACACTGGGTTGGCAAATCAGCAAAAAATCTGAATCAATCCTTGGCAGCTCGGATTGGTATCTCCAGATTCAGACAGAAATTCTATGAAATTCTTATCTGAAGACGGATTCTGTGAAATTCAGGATGATGAGGTCTCTCGGTTCCACTGTTTCAGTGCAGTTGGTGATCCTAGACTTTTGTTCGCAGAACAAATCCTCTTTGGATGATCATGGATGATCTCTACCTGTACCTCAAGAGCCAATGACTTCTTGGCACTTTTTCAAAGTTGCTCCAATCGAGCAACTTTCCAAGCCAGCCAAGAAGTTTTATGCCCCTTAGATCCCAACGTGACAGACAACATGCCGAACATGCCGAACAGAACATGCCGAACATGGTTTTATGCATTTAACAGTCGCTCCAACACCTAGAAACAGCCTCCACTTTGTCAGCCAAAGATAGGAGCAGAACTATCCCCACCTGTCAGGTCTTGGAACGACACTATGGCAACCTTCCGGCAGGGGTCCTCAGTGGCCAGGAGTTGTAATTGGTGAACTGAGCTTTAAGAAGGTAACATATACACATGGAAGACTTGCAATATTTTTTGCTGCAGTCAACCAAGAGATAGACGTGCTCCAATTCCTTGTTGCCAATGACTGTCACAGTTTCATACGAGCAATTGGCAACTGTGTGGCGGTTTTCCAACGCTTGAGGGAACTGAACCCCCTTTTCGATTGAATTGGTGATTGTACGACTATACCGTTACTTGACCAAATGTCAAGTTCTGGCCCGCCTTGCCAAAGCGTGGTGACAATGTGCTGTGCCAGTGCATCCTGGATGCCTTTGAGAGCTACGGAGCGAATGGTGTCACTTTCAAAATCTTCCAGCGAGAAGTCATGAGAGGCTGGATTTTGCTGAGCTCATTGAATCATCACTAAATCTGGATCAACGTTTCTGATTAAGGGAAGGTGGACAGTGAGAGACGAACCTGAAAAAACCTGGTTGCATGTAGCTTTGCGCTTTAGTAGAATAGGGTTCCGCCTGATGCCAGACTATTGGATCAGGCGAGGGAAGGATTTCAGGACAAGTCTTAACTCTATTTTTCGGCCTTGGGGAGAGACAGACGTTTTTTCCACCACCATGCAGGGCTGTGCAACAAGGAGTGTGCACCCTCCTTGCTTTCACAAACTGTGGAGTGCTCTAACACCTTCACTGCCGACTATTTGTTGAAAGGTCTGAAGGATTTGCCAGAATATAGATAACATGCCGCAGCCGAACCGATCCATTTCAGAAGCTATCTAAAATGGGGCCTCTGAGCTGCTGCCAGTGGGAGATCTGGGCCCTGCCGACATCGACCGCTTGTGGTATAGCTTGAGCCCGGATGGAAGGCTAGTTCGGTATATTTTCTTGTGGGGGTCGCTGGCTGCAGAAATTGGGAGATCTGTGGTCATTTGTTTTGGCATGCCTTGGCCTGTGGCACACTCGTAGTGGTTGAGACCGACCACACCGATTGCCAAAGGATCTTTCTTCACGCTTAGTCAATAGCCGATCTAAATATCTACAACAACCGGTATTATTCATTGACTAAGTCTGTTTTGGGTTGAGGCAAGAAATGAGGACAGCAATCCAGATTCCAAAGAGATCCTGTATAGTGCCCATCCGGCTTTGACCGTTGCTCGCTGTAGGATTTCTACTTGCACATTTTGCATAGTGTGTGCTTGTCAACCTGGCAGGTGGGTGTCGATCGACAAACTTGGAGAATTCTTGTACAAAGACAACGAAGCTTGGTTGGCCAATGCGTCATGAGAGGCTGGATTTTGCTGAGCTCATTGATTGATGCGTACTAGTATGCAAAAGTTGGGATATTATTGCGCTGCACATCTCTCAGTTTTTCTAAGCACACAACCAACCTGGAGACATTCTTTCAACGAGTTTTAGGGCTGTTTCACGATCCGTTAGACACAGCATCAAAGTGATTTTTGATCAGTTTGAGTTGAACTTGATGCTGTGTCTGTGGTCGCAGCGGTGTCCTGGGCGCCGGTGCCCAAAGAGGTACTTTGAATATCTTTGAATGCTGAGATATTCTTTGGCATTGTTCCGGGCCGTGCCTGAAAAGGGACAGTGCCTGAAAAGGGATAGTGTCGCCTGGTAGCATGTTAACTTAAAGTCTAGAGCATCATGTATTGCAAGTGAAACGAAACAACTTGAGCTGCATCCACTTTGAACCCGTTGCCAGATACATTGGATTACGGTATTTACAGTGCCAGATTCTGCCAGATGCTGCTTTGGCATTCTGAAGCCACTCGAACAAAGATCGACGATTTCGGGGGGTTGCTGTCGGAGTCCTAAATCTGCAGGTCCTCCAGCTCCAGTTCTACCAGGTTGGGTGAAATTCAAACTGGGGCAACGCAGCGAAAAACGGTGGCAATTCACATAGTAATTCAATGTAATTCATCGCAAGCCACGTTATTTTAGGAGTGGATACCGGAACATATGGCAGTGTGTCAAAACCTTGTACCCCTGGTGAACATCAAAATAGCTGGTAAATGGATGTTCATCCCACTAAAAATGCTATTAATAGGTATTGATCCATACCCATATGACTTGGGAATTCTTCACAACTCCAATGTCTTGCCTGTTTCAAGTGATGACGCCTTCATAATGAAGCCTACAATGCGAAGGGAGAAGACCTGGATCTGAGGCAAAAGAAACGGAAGAGGTGCGCCAGCGCTGGTTGTGCCGAGAGCATTCTCAAGGTATTCAGACGTCATCCAGACTTTATAGATCAAGACAGTCTTGCCAACAGTTTTGGTTTGGCATTCGGGGGAAATTTACCATGCAATATAGCCTCTGGTTATGACTAACATAGCCATGGTATAGATGGCCCATAAAAAAATGGTAAATGCTAGGACATTCCAGCATTCATTGTTGGTTGATGGAAAACAAACTTTTGGAAATAGAAAAACAAAGAATGGAAATGTTTATGAACTTTGAAGATGAAGACGAAGAAGAGTATGATGAAGAATATAAAGAACAATTCCGACAAATGACAGACGAAGAGATTGAACGGCATATCGGTCTGGAAAAAGTGAGAAATGTAATGGAAGGATTTGACAGAGAACACGGTATAGACAAAATACGACGGATGATATACGAAGTAAGAAATGAAGACAAGAAAGAAGACCCTGAAGATGAAAAATATGAAAGTGATAGTAGTGAAACACAACGAATGAAACGATTACAGTGGATACAGGACAACAGAAAACCTAAAAACTGAATAAGACCCCAAAACTACTTAAAGAAAAAAATACCTATATAATATATATGAAATAAGAGGATGCTATTTACTTATAAAAACTGTGGATGTTGTAAAAAAGAAATGATTAACCTAAAGGTTTTACTAAACAATATGTTTCCCGCTGGAATTTGTGATGAGATATGTGGTTACAACCTTCAATGTTCAAAATGTAAAGACTTAACCGATAGGGAGCGTAGATACATAGATTTCAATTATCATTTTGACTATTTTAATGATAAAAAACTGACGAGAGCAGAAAAGACAATCTATTTCTTTAAAAGAAGGATGGAGAAATCACCAATTTATTTATCCAACACGAACCGAACAAACACTCGGCAAATGAAAAGAGAAATTTATGTTTTAATGGATACATTCAAACTCAAGCAAGAATTCAAACACGACAAACTGTTCTTAATGGCGATTAAGTCTTTTGTGAAAAGGGAGTGGAAAACTACCTATCACCTCCTTAAAAACTTTCACGACCTTACAATACCTTACATATATGAAGTATTGTAAGAACAAGCGGGAGTGGTGGTTTCCTCAAAACGATTGGACTTATACATTTAGAAACAGGGAATTCAAGGTAAACGACATGTTGGAAATCTATTTTTGCGTGAATACATCGAAGAACTTTTCAATGGTTATGAAAAATATTTTAATGTAGAAGAAATAAAAGAGTATCTACAAAAAGTGGTAAATACTTAAAGAAAAAATAACTATATATAATAAGAGAAAATGAGTAGAGCAAAAATTGAGGTTATAGATATAGGTAATATTGGTTTATATGCTGACTTTGGTAGTGAAAGCGAGGACGATGACTGGGAAAGAAAAGCAATAGAAAAAGAAGATGAAGAGATTAGAGACTTTGTGAAGTGTCATCCTATGCCTTCACCAGATGATGAGGAAGGAGAAAAGTTTGGAAGAATGTAATTGATAGGGTGAAAAACGACCAAGGAATAAATGCTATGATAATATATTCATTCGTTAACTTTGACATTATCAAAAGAATGTATGAAAACCTCACGGATAAAACAGTAATCATTGAATGTGGTAAGAAACTTAACCGTGATGGAAAATGGGATGTTATGGCAATAAATCAAACTCTATCAGCATTAGCAATAGATGAACTAAACGATACAAACAAACCTATCACAAGTCAAGTCAGGATAATTGAACACTGGTGGGATGGAATAGGAAACTGGAAAGCTTACATGATTAATTCATAATATCTTAATAAAATAGATTATGAAGTAGTCATCCACCCAAACACAAACAAAACCCCCAACAGTCTAAACAAATCCTACCCCCATTCAATCCAAACATCAACAGTGAAAGTTCAGGGCAAAATAGTCCCAAAACCCCCACCACATGAAACATCAAAGATAAGGAAGAAACATGGAACATAAACCTAAAAACCATAACAACCAACAATGAACGCTGGAATGTCCCAGCATCCCCCTTTTACCATTTTTTCCCATTTATAGATGATTTTCCCATTAAAACCTCCATTGATAATGGATTTTCCATGGCTATGTTAGTCATGACCAGATGGTACTTAAGACTGAGATTTTCGGAGCGAATCTGTGGTCCAAGACCAAAGTAAGTATAGCTTCTAATCACTTTGGTGACAGGGATGATCAGCCCCAAAAAACACCCCGGCCACAGCAGAACGTCACAGTTTCATACAGTTTCATCTTAGCCGGAACAGTGTGAATCGAGATGCCGATCTCTGCATAAAATTAGCATTCAAAATGCCCGCCAAAAAGCTGTGCCAACCTCCAGCTGCCGTCCTTGGCTCTGCAAAACTGAGTGAAGTGGCGCGGTCCCAATTGAAGTCTGGAGATCTGAAAATCGCCTCAGCAGGTTCAGGATCAAAAAGCGAGTCTCCAAAGACACCAGATGCTGAAAACACCTACAACTGGTTCAGCGCGGTTGCAGCACTGGTTCAGCTCAGCTCTGATTTAAAGCCAGAAGCTCCAAGCGTTTTCCAAAGCCATGGCAGAGCGTGTCGCTGAAGGAGAGGTGTGGATCTCAGAGGTGGTGAAAAGTGGAAGCATTTGTGCACCACAAGGAGCTTCAAAACACGCAGGGAACACACAATAAATAATTTGTATAGATTAATATAGGAATGAGACTAGCAGAGCTGCTTCGTGCTGCGAATGTTCTGGCTCTGACATTGATGAGCCCCCAAGTTAATTGCAAGGAATTTGTCATTGTCAGCTTTCCCTGCTTTCAGTCGTTTCGAACATGACTCTAATCAGCCTACCCCATCCTACCCCATATGGTCTTGTAGCTTCAGGGAATAACACATTTGCCACCATGATTGCCAAACATGGGGATTCTTGACATGTCCATGACTCCGAATTAGCTGTGCCTCCAAGAACAGGGAAACTTTGACGTCCAACACAACTCGTGATTCCAATCAAGGAGGTTGGATGGGCTCCCTGCTGACCCCCTCCCAAGATTTCCGCTGATCTCAATGGTTTGGCTGAGGCCAGCGCATGCCACTCAAATTTGGCTGCAGAGGCAGGGTCTTGTTGCACAGCTGGATCCAAACAGCAGCGATCCAAAAAAAACCCCTTGAAGTACTGTGAATGAAAGAGCCATATGTGGGACCTCCCCATGGCAACAGTATGACAAGAGTTTTGAATAGTTTCTGGTTGGTGGTTTGGAACATTTTTTATTTTCCATAATATCTGGGATAATCCTTCCCATTGACGAACTCATATTTTTCAAAGGGGGTTGAAACCACCAACCAGGTTTGATCTGTTTCGCTGTTTCTTTGAGGCGAGTAATGGGTTTTACCCCAAGCACAGTGCGGCAGAGGTGCTACAGATCTCCAACTTACTGGCGCAGCAGGCATCCGATAAGACTGGCGGCTCGTGCGCCGTGGAGCACAGGGAGCTTCCCGGGGTTGCCAAAAGGGCTACTCACTCTTTGTGAATAGGCACACTTCGGTTCAAGAATGGGTTCAGGTATTGTTTTTTTTTTTTTTCCCATTCTGCCGGCGTGAGGAATCCTCGTGCGGTCTCGCTGGATTGAATTCAAATCAGGCCCCTTGATAGTCTGGCAGGAAAGACCATCGCGTGACCTTTGCCGACGCACTCCATGCATCAGCAAGCCAAGTCTTGTCCTTGGCAGTGCAGGCAGCGGGTTCACGCCACCCTTCAAAATGGGCACGGGCTTTAAGCCCACGAATGAGTGCCACTACCATGCTACGGCACAGCGCGCTGGGGTATTCCTTAGCAGCGGCTGTCCGAAAGAGGCCACGCTCATTGCGCCCAGCAAGCGCGGCCGTAGGGCGAGTGCGCCACGTCTCTGCTCCTTCACGTAGCGCCGTAGCCACCACTGGTGCAGCACCCAAATTCAATGCCCGCAAGCAAGTAGGCTTAACTCCGGCCGCTCCGTACTCATACTGCTCCACATAGTGTCGGACCGCATCCGGTAGGGCCATAAGCCATTGCTGATGAGCCTGTGTGCGCCAGACGGAGGCACGCTCATCTTGTGA